CTGCTTTGACACAACAGTTCATTTTTCAGTTCTGTTTCAATTAGGGGTGTGAGCGATGGGGAGGTTCCCTAGCATTTGTTGCTAAATGACATGACTAGTAGGCAAATGTGGAAATCAGCTCAACAGCCTGTTGACAGAATGTGATATTAGAAGATGGTATCCACTCTTGTGATGTATATTGCACAAGTGAGGGCGGTTTTAATAATTTATGTGTTGTGGAAAGTTTGGTATATGTTTCAGTCATCCTTTAGAAAGTAATATCGATGCTTTTCAACTAAATACTTCTCAATTTTTGCTTTGCATTATTTGGTTATAGAATAATATTATCTGTTGTAAAAGTGTACTTGCTAGGGTTTAATTGCTGTTCAGGCATGCTGTTAAAGTTCAAATTGACACACTTGTTTGCATGTTTTATTTTCTACATGTAAGTCATGTGCAACTCATCGAAACAACAGATTCTACTGATTTGAGTGTCAAATAGTGCATTTGGAAAGACCCCAGAACATAGACTTGTACTCTTCAATAGTATATCTGTCCTGATTTAATGTTTGATTTTAAAGTTGAATATAAAGTTTCCATGGCCAAGTGACCAGATTCATGTTTGGTCATTTTGGCAAGTTACTCAAGTGTGAGGATTTTAAAGCTGAGGTTGGCCACATGTCCACGCAACCAGTAGAGGGTACTGTCATGAGACCAGGAGCAGGAATCCTGGCTGTTCTCTTCCCCCACACTCTAACCTTGGGAAGGATGAGACCAACTTAGCCTCTCTGTATAGTCCCTGCTCATACCAGCAAATTCAGCATAGGATTTGAACCAGCAAGTCAGTGGTCTGTACGCTGCAGTTCTTTCTATCCACTATGCCATTGGGATCCTCCAAACCAAACTGAGAATTCATTGCATTCCACCTATACATAGAAATTCCAGAGATAGATTGTTGTAATGGATTGCGCTCTCTCTCGCTGCAGGGAAACATCCTGCTTACCTGATTCCAGAAAGTATTAGATGCAGGTTGGAAAAAGCCAAGGCTGGAGTCTAACCAGCTAAAACCTCATCCCTTCCCTTTGAGATTGCTGTCTGGCAAGCTTTCCTACTGCTTGTCCAGCTAGGACCAGCCTACCCAGGGGCTGAGTGGGATGACTCCCTGCCTCCAGTGACTGATCTTCTCTTCCAGTTACTGCCGATGAGCCAGGCTGGCTGTACTGTCATCAGCAGTGCCTTGGAATACCGCAGACCCGCTTGGCTCAGGAACTGGACTCCAAGACCGGTACAGAGTGCAAGCTCGGTTCTGTCATTCCATTCCAAGCTTTCCTACTGCTTGCCCAGCTAGGACCAGCCTACCCATTGGGGCTTTGGCTTGCAGGAGCTGAGAGTGATGAATCGCTGTCCCCAGTGACAAGTCTATCCCTGCTTGTCAAATGAACCAGTCTGGTTGGTCTGTTTCTCAGCAGTATCTTGCTGCCCACAGCTCGGACACATATCCCTACCCATTCAGCGATGGTTGCTCCAGTTGGAGGGGCAGAGCTTGAGCAACAGCTGCGTAACTCTCTACACAAAAGAGTGAAAGCAAAAGACAGTATGCACCCAGCCACCTCAATGGTCTTGTTTGACCAGCTCATGACTACCCCATCTGAACAAAAAAGGAACGAGAGACACAGATACATTGATGAATTTATTTTATTACTAATCAAAACCAAATTGAACACAACTATATAAAATTAATCGCACAGCTTGAGTGTGTGTGTGTGGGAGGGGCAGGGAAGCAGAAATAGCCGATGGCATGGAGAGAAATGTATGGTGAGGGAGATGGCTTGAAATCTCTCCAGAGACATGGAGTTTGGGGTTGAGGGCAGGAGGTGTAATAAATAAATAAATAAATAAATAAATAAGAGTATGGTGATACTGAAAATGATCCCTTCCCCTGTAAAAGAATCTCACCTAACACCCATATCCTGTCTCGACACTTTACCTTGAGCAAAATGGGAAGTTGACATGACAAACTGAACTCATGCATGCCTATTGGGTTCATTTATTCATACTGTGAAAGTGAAGCAATATTTGCACATCGCGCTACCCCAAACACCCATCGTCTAACACGCTCATAGACTTGCAGTCTGATTCATGCTGGCCTCCAGTGAGAGGATAGGCCACGGCTTGGAGTCCTGTAACGTATTGGTTAAAGCACTCGTCTCGCAAGCGAGAGGACCTAGGTTTGATTCCCAGGTTGGGCGAAATGATGAGTGAAAACTTCCTACAACTCAATGTTGACAAGATGGAAGCCATACTCATTGGCTCCTGTCAACGTCTTCTACCCTGCGGCTCTGACCTCCTCAACCTCCCCGGCCTACCGCTCAGACTTACTGAACCAGTGCGCAACCTAGGTGACGGGTTTGACCCACAGCTATCCTTCCTTCCCCACATCCGGTCCCTGACAGGACCGCCTTCATCCACCACAAAACCCACCTCCGAATGTTCCTTACCCCAGACTTGGCCGAAACACTCGTCCATGTGTTCATCACCTCCTGCCTCAACTTCTAAAATGCCCTCTTTGCCAGGCTCCCCAGCTCCACCAGACACAGGATCCAGCTGATCCCAAACTCTGCTGCCCGCATACTCACCCACACTGAACTCCGTACCCCCATCACACCAATTCTAGCCAGGCTTCACTGGCTCCCTATCGCCGAATGGATCAATGTCAAAATCCTCACACTCATTTTCAAATCCCTTCATGCCCTGGCATCTCCCTACCTCTCCACCCTGCTTACCCCGCAACCCGCTGCCTTTGCTTCACTGGCTCCAGCCTTCTGCCTGTCCCTCGTGCCCTCCATTCCACCATTGATGGCTGCGCTTTCAGCCACTACGGCCTAACACTCTGGAACACTCTTACATCTATCCGCCTTGCCCCTTCCTTCCCCATCTTCAGGTCGCCCCTGACGACATTCCTATTCGGCTGTGCTTGCAGTCAACCCCCAACCCCCACCCCCCCCTCTCATGCTGCCACTGTCAAGCTCTCTGGCACTCTATCCTGCGTGAGGGGTGCTATATAAATTCAAGTAATAATTACAGGAAACAAACATTTCCATTAAACTTTTTTTATGATTTACAAATGTAAAAGTAAACAAGTAACTATGCCAGTACAAGAAAATGCTTTTTGAGGGTGGAAGTGAAAATTATAAAATTCTGTATGTTCCATTCCTTTAAGGCTTTAGAAGAAATTAAACGGGAAAATGGGTCAATAAAGATTGACCGAAGACTGACTGGTTCCAATATAATTGATGAGCCTCTACAACAGGTGTGTAACTGGATGGTTAAGAATTTCCATCTTATTTGTGAATATGATTGTATTACAACGTTACTCTATATTATTAGGATTATGCATATTGTCAGTTTTGTTGGGACAGAATTTTATTTTCAAACCTTAGAGATTGTTGTTCCCTTGCAATAAATGATTCGATTCTCCAAGATTCAGTCAAGCTGAATCTCCAAACAAACCCAACATTTAAGTTGCAGTTTACAAACAATATAAGAATGTGTTGCTCCTTTGTTCCTAGACCATCTCAGATCAGATTTGTCAATAAATTATTGACAAATATTGCAATTTTCATCAAAGTTTAATAAGACAAGATTTTTTTCAAATAAAAGTGAATTGGATATGCTCAAACCTTTGTATGTAAACATGTTCTGCTGATTTATATGATGAATCTCTGTAGTTAGTTCATCATTCTTATTTCTGAGAAAATCACCACAGTAATTTTCACTAAGTGGAGTAGATCATTGATAGGATGTTAGCAAAGATACTGACTGACCTTTACAAAGTAAGAAATATCAGATACTTATTGAAGATGTATCTTTTAAAGTGAAAGGAACTCAAAAAGAAATCATAACGATGAACTGATTTTAAATTTGTTTCAATTTTTATAGTTTGGATTAGCCTTCAGGTCTCATTAATACAAACCTATAAATAAACTCTTCCCCCCATGCAAAGTTGAAACATATTTCAAAACTGAAATATGTATCACATTCTTTATAGACCTGTGAGGTTATTTAATGAATACTATGAATTCATCACTGAATAATTAATCAAAAGATTGATCTTTCTATCATGTCACTTAATTACCTTTTCTAATTGGTTAATGCACTGAATGTTTGCTTGTTCCAACACAAAATGATAACTTATTTTTTATAGCACCCTTTGCTTCAAAATGTCACAATTCAGTCATGGGAGAGATACAAAGCAAATGTGAGGAACATTGGAGATGATCAAACATATTATTTGTTTTTGGTTACTGGGTATCATTGACAAACCAAACTGAAGAATTCCTCATGCATCCCACCCACATATGGAAATTCCAGAGAATGGAATGTGCACTCTCTCCCTTATTCTGGGAAGTATTAGGGGCAGGTTGGCGAGAGCCAAGGCTTGGGGACCACAGATTGTGTGTTGGGGAACTGCCGGAATCTAACCAGCTAAAGCAGCATAACTTGTCATTGATATCACTGTCTGACAAGCTTTCCCGCTACTTGTCCTATCTGTTAGGGCTTTGGCTTGTACAGTCAACAAGAGCTGAGTGGGATGATACTCTCCCTCGTCATTGGTCTGTCCTTCGAAGTCCCGCTGGCTGTGCTGCCATCAGCAGTGCACTGGAATACTGCAGATCCACCTGGCTCAGGAACCAGACTACCAAGACCACCACAGAGACCGCTGGCTTGATTCTGACATTCATGTCAAACATGTCACCCGCTTTCCTCCTCCCCCCCACCCCAAGCAGGATAGTCACTAGTTGGTTATTTAACATCCGATGGATTGTAGGTACCAGCAACTCCCTATGAGCTTCCTGGTAGGCAACATAGTTCAAGTATAGATTGATGAGATCATTGCCACCATCTTCTTGTCCGCAGCTCGGTCACATATCCCTTCCCATTGAGCGATGGGTTGTAGTTGTACAGCAACAGATTCCTAACCTGCTGATGAAAATGTGCTGCACAAGTCTTGAGATTGTTTTTCATAAAGTATAATTGCTGGTTTGCACATTTTAATGTTTGTTCTTTCCTTTCCCTTAACTGTAGTTTTTTTTTATTTTAACCCTCGTGATTTACTATGAACCAGTAACATTTGATATGCTGTGAGCAGGATATAAACATACAGAATCCAGGTGAGAAGAAAACATTCACTATTTACAATTAAGTACAGTAAGTATAATGGGAACACGAGGGTTAGAGTGGATGGATATGTTTCATACTTTATTCCTTTTTTAAACTTTTTTCAGGTCCTCCAGTTTGCACTAAGGGACTATATTCAATACTGGTATTATACCCTGAGTGACGATGAATCTTTTTTACTCGAAGTCAGACAAACTATTCAAAATGCACTTATCGAGTTTGCCATAAGGTGAGTTTGGGTTCACTTGATTCAGCCATATGGCATAAAGCATACCACATTTATTAGGATTAGGATTTCTATCAAAATATGAAAACCACTTTTTTAACCATATTATTGTAATAGTGAATTACAGAAAAGCCTGAGCAAATATTAGCAATAAAAGTAAGGAAGCTGCCTGATCCTCACAAGATGGTAATGTTGTTAATGGGATACAGTGCATAATTGTACTGAAAAATTGCATTTACAGACAAATGTGCAATTTTCTACAACAACAAGATTACATTTGTATAGTGCCTTTCAAGTGGGAAGGACGTCCCAAGGCGCTGGACAGTGTAGAGCATTTTAGACCCGAGCAGGGGTCGGGGAAGGAGAAGGAAAGGGAGGGGAAGGGGGGTGGCCGATGCCATGGTCGAAGAGGAGAGACTTGAGGTGGTACTTGAAGGAGGCTAAGGAGGGGGCGAGGTGAAGTGATTGGGGGATGGAATTCCAGAGGTTGGGAGCAGAATGGCTGAAGGCTCTCCCGCCAATGGTGGGGGGGGGTGGGTCGGGGGATGTGGAGCAGGCCGGAGCCGGCTGAGCGGAGGGAGCGGGCGGGTTGATAGGGTGTTAGGAGGACGCAGAGGTAGGGTGGGGCAAGGCCGTGGAGGGCTTCTACAAGGTATGTAGTATATAGTTCAATTGATGAGCAATGACCAATCAAGCTGGTGTTTACAACACCTTGCCTTTACAAACTTACTTGTTACAAGTGTTTTGTGCCAATTATGCAATGTGCCCATTGTAAGGCAACACGACTGTGCTCAGTTTCTTACTTTACTTCTAATGTCTTAATTGCATGGGTTGCATTGTGTAGGTTTTTGCTTCAAGACATTTTTGCTTATGAAGTAATCAGCAGCCATAGATACACCATCTTGGATCAAACCATGTTCAATTGGGACAGGAGGTAGCACTTATAATTTCATTAAAAATGAAATCTGGCCTTGATGAATGAATATCTCTATGAACAGGTTCATGACAAAGAAACGTCAAGTATTGTATTTGCAAAATTAGTACTAGGGAAATTGAAAAAGTGGTACCAAACATACTGACAGCTTCTGAATTCTGAGTGGAATCTGTTTATTTATAATGTTATTTACAAAACTGAAGCTATTCTTTCGTTTCAGAAAATGTGTGGATTTCAAACTTGTAATAATGTGAATAAGCACTTTATTATGATTGATAATAGGTCAAAAGAGGTAGACTGGCAACCTTATTTCACTACAAGATTGGTAGATGGCTTTGCTACGCATCTCCATGTTTTCAGAAAAGCTCAACCAAGGACAGAAGATTCAAGACAAAAAAAAGGTAAGAATAGATATTGAACAAAGTATGGTGCATATTTAATATCAAACTTTTTAAAAAATCCGACCTTGATTGCATGCACTAACTTGTGAGAAGCTCTGATACTGTGTAACAGGCCATTTTCTTGTGTGAGGTGAGGTGGTTAGGGTTGGCAAATACTTGAGCTGTGTACATATCATCACTGATGCCACCATTTCTCCCACAATACCCAGTTTTCAGTATCAGCGATCGAGGGGCTCCGGCCTGATCGTTTATCACCCGTCTAGCTCAACAGGAATAAGAATAGAATAAAATTACTTCCTGGTCAGTGTGACTTAGTACCACACCAAGTGATGCATATACTTTAACCAAAAATTGTGAGTTTGATTTGTTTGTAATAGATTATTAACAAATATTTTATAATTTGTTAGATATTTGCAAGTCTAGAAAATAGTTTGGTTCACAAATATCCTTGCCAGTTATTAAAAGACTTGCAAATTTGATCAAAATATTCAGTAAATTTAGTTTCACTTTATTCATGTAAAACTGCCTCCCTATTAATTTAAATTCACTTCAAAATCATAGCAAATATAGCATTGGAGTTTCCGTTAAGATCATTGAGCTTATGCCAGTGTTAGTATACCTTCACCTTATTTGTTGGTTTACCTGGATATATATGGAAGTTTATCTACTTTCAAAGGATGAAGAAAACCATTATACAGCACAGAAGGAGGACATTCGACCCACTGAGTCTGTGCTGGCTCTTTGAAAAGAGCTACACAAATCAATTCCATTCCCCCGCTCTCTCCCCATAACCCTGCATACTTGTCCTCCCCAAATAATGATCTACTTCTCTCTTAAAAGTTGCTATCAAACCGGCTTCCATCACTCTTTCAGGCAATGCATTCCAGATCCGAACAACTCGCTGTGTGAACGAATTTCTCCTCACCTTCCCTGTGTTTCTTTTTACAATTATTTTAAATCTGTGTCCTCGAGTTTCTGACCCACCTTCCAGTGGAAATAGTTGCTCCTTGTTCACCCTATCGAATCCCCTCATAATTTCGAAAACTTTTATTAAGTCTCCTCTTAACCTTCTCTGCTCCAAGGAGATTAATCCTAGCTTCTCTATCTCTCCTGATAACTGAAGTCCCTCATTCCTGGTACCATCCTGGTAAATCTACTTTGCACCCTCTCCGATGCCTTGACATCCTTCCTAAAGTGTGGTGCCCAGAACTGAACATAGTCTCCAGCTGAGGCCTAACCAGTGCTTTATAAATATTCTTCATAACTTCCTGACTTTTGTATTCTATGCCCCTATTTATAAAGCCTAGTATCCCGTATGTTTTTTTAACAGTTTTATCTACCGATCCCGCCACCTTCAAACATTTACTTATATGAACCCCCAGGTCTCTCTGTTCCTTCACCCCCATTAAGATTGTACCATTTAGTTTATATTGCCGCTCCTCATTCTTCCTCCCAAAATGCATCACTTCACATTTCTCCATATTAAGCTTCATCTGCCACATGTCCGCCCTTTCTACCAGTCTGTCTATGTCCATTTGTAGTCTGCTACTATCCTCCTCACTGTTTACTACTTTTCCTATCTTAGTATCATCTGCAAACTTGGAAATTGTACTCCCTTGTCCCAAGTCCAGGTCATTTATAGAGATCAAAAACAGCAGTGGTCCCAATACTGACCCCTGGGGGATACAACTGCACACTTCCCTCCAAACAGAAAAACAACCATAGTTGATGTAATTATCTTCATTTTGTACAATTGGAGAATATATAGATTATTTAGATTTTTTTCCATCTAAACCCTTTCTGTATGATCAGTGCACCTTTCCATGGCTGAAATGGTAATTTAGCAAATTATTGATTTTCTTCCATTAAATGTAATGTAAAACATTCTTTTTCTGCCTGACTTTGAGGTCTGAAACATAATACAAATTTACGAATAACTTCTGCGGATTACCTTAAAAAAAAGCTTAATACTGCAATGGAAGGAGTGTAGGATTGGTTTTCTGGAAGGATGAGGTCAGAGGGTCAAAGGGCCTTCTTCATCCAAATCAATCTTGTGGCTACTGATTTTCAGGAGGAGTCGTTATTTGCGACTCTACAGTCTCTGTTAACAAATCTGGATAGTGAATGTTACATTGTTTTGTTTTCCTTCTGGATCAATTGGCTAAATGATGTGATTAGCAGCTAATAAGCTTAATGAACATTAATTCCACCTTATATAAGGAAATGACTCAGTTGGTAGCACTCGCTTCTGAATCAGAAGACTTGATTTAAGCCCCACACTGGGACTTTGTACTTATCTAAGCTGACACTATTGCAGTACTTGGGTTGTGTCGCAATGTTGGAGGTGTCTGATGTGAAACGTGCTATATTAAATGCAAGTGTTGGTCTTTTTGGCTTTGGTGGGTACATATTTTCTGTATCACAGGAACTAGAATTCTCCATTTTCCCTTATCCTGTATTCATCAATTGAAATTGTTAGTCAAATACTAACAAGAACAGGTTAGGTTGTTTGTTGACATGATGCACAACCAAATTTTCTAGCATAGGCAGGTTAGTGATTTTTGTGCGTGACAGCAGGAAGTGGCGTTCCCAATGACCTGCAAGTTGGCCACTTTTTGTGTGGGAAGCTGAGATAGCTTTTTGTGCACATGTGGAGTGATGTCAACTTTCACATGACCAGTGATATTACGATGCAGAAGCACTGCCTGTGATTACGCTAATTATAACAGTTTGGTTTTTTTATTGACTCCCAACTACCTCGAGTTATAATGGATCTGCACTAGAGTGTTATTTTTAATCAGTAAAATGATTCTATCTGCTATTTCAGATACATCCGAAGAATTAATTGAAACCTTCTTTGAAGTTGAGGTGGAAATGGAGAAAGATGTCTGCCGCGATCTAATTTGTACTTCAACTAAAGATGAAGAAGGTTTGTTCTTTTAAAAAAAACATATAACCAGTACTTTCATTTTAGCATATCTATTGTACTTGGTGCTTGTTTGCTGTGAAGGAAGAAGAGGGAAAGGAGAATTTAGGAGGAATTTATTGATCCAGAGAGTTGTTGGAATGTGGAATGCCCTGCTGAGTAGGGTGGTGGAGGCAAGAGTCAGTCCATTGTAGCTTTCAAGAGGGAACCAGACAGGCATATAATAATCAAAAGGCAAGATACTGCAGATGTTGGAAATTTGAAATAAAAACAGAATTCGCTGGGAAAACGCAGCAGGTCAGGCAGCATCTATGGAGAGAGGAAAGTGAGTCAGGTCGATAATCTTTTGTCAGAACTTCCCATGCCAGCACAGGAGATGTAACACTGCCTGTTCTCCTCCTCCCATATCACTGTCCAAGTCCCCAAACACTGCTTCTGATTAAGACAGTGATTTACATGTACTACCACCGATGTAGCTTACTGTATTCGCTGCTCACGATGCCGTCTCCTACATCGGTGAGACCAAACGCAGATTGGGTGATCGCTTTGCCGAACACCTACGTTCCATCTGCAAGTGCAACCCTGAGCTTCCGATCGTTTGCCACTTTAATTCTCCTTCCCATTACCTCTCTGTCCATGGCCTCCTATGCTGTTCCAATGAAGCACAACAGAAGATCGAAGAACAGCACTTCATCTATCTCCTACGCATCTTACAGCCCTCTGGGCCTCAAAATTGATTTTAACCACTTCAGACCTTAAACACAACTCCCATCTTCTCTCAACCTTGCCTCCCCCTCTTCTTTAACCATTCACACATCCTCTGGGTCTTAGACGCATCTTTTCTATCTATAATCTCCTACTATTGCCTTCTTTTGTCTTGCACCATCAACACCTCTGTGTTGACATCAGCTCCTGTCCTCCACTTATTTTTATTCTGACTTTCTATTACCGCCCCCTTCTCTGTTTGTCCTTATAAACTGCTCCCTTCCAACATCCCCCAGTTCTGACGAAAGGTTGTCAACCTGAAATGTTAACTCACTTTCCTCTCTCTACAAAGGCTGCCTGACCTGTTGAGTGTTCCCAGCACTTTCTGTTTTTATTCCAGGTACATCATAATAATCCTTGCATTTGATATAGCGCCTTATCTGGTCTTCTAGACAACAACAACAAGATTGCATTTATAGAGCGCCTTTCACGTCGGGAGGACGTCCCAAGGCGCTGGACAGTTGAGTCGGGACCCGAACAGGGGGTAAATGGTCAAGGTGAGGGGAGGGAAGGGAGGGAGCAAGGAGGGGGTAGAGAGTCGAGAGGGGAGCTGAAGGCACGGTTGAAGAGAAAGGTCTTGAGACCAGCCTTGAAGGAGGAAAGGGAGAAAGCAAGGCAAAGGCACTGGGGGATGGAGTTCCAGAGCCTAGACGTTTCAAAGCATTCACAGATTACACTGTAAAGTGAATTGACTGTATATTTTGTGGGCGAAAAGCAGCAGCCAATTGCGCACAGCAGTGTCCCACAAATAGTAATGGATTGAATGACCAAATACTTATCATTATTTATGCCCCCTTATTGTGTCAAGTCACAACAGCTTCAGATTTGAAATGGCCATCTTATCAAATCCTTTCATAATTGTAAAGACTTCTTTCTATATACTGAAAAAAAGGGCAGACATTCAAAGAACTTGCAACTATTTTCAGGATTTATACTATGGTATCAAAGTCTGATCACTCAATTGAAAGCAAATTAGAATGGCAGTGATATAGTAGGTTATCAGCTCGGCTAAGGGGCTGTGGCAAGGCAAATATTCAGGGAAGAAAGAAATCACTTGGTAGAAGAATTAACCCTGAGGGATTCTCATTCACTTTGTGGCGACTGATCCCACATTAATGTTAGCGGAGGCCTGGGAGCAGATTTCTCCCATCTTCTCATCCAAGCGTAGTGGCTTTTCATTACCAGTCAAAAATAAATACCTGATTTTCATTCAGCTTCTTTCTCTACATCACTATCTACTGCCAAGGGTAAAGTCACTTCTCTCCAAATACTAAACAGCAGCATTAAATTTTGCAACACAGCTGCAATTCCAGAAAATCACTTCAATCTACTATTACCCAAACAAACGGTATAATGATGCACACGTTATCACAGAATAACTGTTGATGTTCTTTGCCGTGGTCTTTAATTGTTCATAAAAGTTACCATTCAATCAAAATTTATAAGAGAACAAAGCTACAATGAAATCAGTAACATCTCCCATTCTTAGAATATTTCAAAATAGGTAGATATTTGCCCTGGGTGCGGGTAACAGGGGAAAGGCAGCAGCGGTTATAACTGAACACGTGGAATAGTGAGATGTGTAGTTAGAAGTGTCCTGTATTAATAACAGTCTAAAAGTATATTCATAACTAATTGGAAGTGAAACCTGTCCAGATGGTCTGCTCAAAAATAGTAGTGGAAGTAAATTGAATTTCTCACATTTCTGTAAAAGAATTGTAGACAAATTTGTTAACAGGAATTGCTATTGATCTTCTTTGCTGTGGTCTTTAATTGTTCATAAAATTTACAACCAATCAAAATTTATAAGAGAACAAAGCTTCAATGAAATCAGTAACATTTCCTATAAAAGAGGTAGAGTACAAATATTGTGTGTTTGAAAACTTTATCTTCCAGTTGTATGAATCATTTGACTGAAAGCTATGGATTTGCAAGCATCATATTCTGTAACTAACAGCATTTTGCAGGTTCAGATAAGAAATGAGGGAGGATAGAACCACTCTCCCCCTCACACTGTAAACAAACCTTAATTATAATAATCTCATTGTTTCTAATAATGTGTGGGCATGTGAAAGAGCATAAGATGAACATACCTTATCTCTCCCAGCATGTTTGTATCAAAGAAAGTCTTCTTAGCTGTGATTGTCCACAAAGCTGTAGATAAATATCAATATAAATTTTGAACCTATCTGATTTAAGTACTTGGTTTTGTTATAGTTTCTTCTAGGAGACTGTAATCCTTTACGTGATCTCTTCAAGAAAGCTTGCATGGGCCGAATGGTAGCCTGTGTCATAAATTTCTATGGATGCTTTCTTTTGTAGGATAGTGGATGTAATTGGTTAATCGGCTTGAATTAACCAATTATATCCACGCAGAGATGCAGTTTGACAAACATAGAACAGAGCCATGCAATTGAAGTCTGATGTCCTCCCAGCAAGCAATATTGATTGATCACGAACAACTAAGAAAGTTCTTGCAAAAATGAAAGATTCAGTGCTTTTGCACCAGGAGATGTGATTGGTATATTGATGTTAAATATTTCCCTCTTTCAGCGTTCCTGAGAGATCTTTGTGAAGTTTTATTATATTTGCTTCTACCTCCTGGAGACTTCCATAACAAAAACATGAGATACTTCCTGAGGGTAAGAACTCTAGGTTTTCATAGTGACAGGGGTTTTAAAAAATCATACATGAATTGTGTAGGTCAATTGAAATGAGTTCTGCAGTTATTACTATCGATTCCTAACAGTGCTGTTACCATTGTACTCATCATTCTGGAGATAATGGTGATGGTATTCTAGCAAACTTTAGTCTGGTGACTTTCCCAGATATGTTACTTGGCACTAACCTTTCACTTGAATGAACATTGTTCAGTCATGATTTCAAAAAAAATGTAAAAATAACTGAAAGGACAGAGTTTTACTTATGCTACCACAATCCAGCATATACAGACTGATGGATGGCTGGTAGTGTTAAAGCTGTAACACAGTTGAAGGATTCCATTTTTTTAAAATCGAGTTTTAATTGTGTGTTTGAGCCCTAAAATTATTTTATGCAATCTACTCCCAAGTCATTTTATTATGTTCTTTAGCTAGCTTTTTATATGTTCACTGCTTAATATTGTATGACTACTCTATGACATTTCTATTGGAATGCTGTGATGTCAAATTATCAGAGGGGTACAAGGATTAGGAAACTCCTCATCCTGATGAATTTGATGATTGGAAGAAAAAATAGTAGTTTTTGTTTCTCAAGAAACTGTTACCAGGATATCATTCCATATTTATTTAATTTTCTGATCTTTATCCGGTACCATAATATTATTTCTTGTTCAAGTTTGTGCAATACTGATTGCTGCAAATATTTAAAGCTGACCCATAGGCCAATAGAAAATTGCACCGGTAATTTTTTCATGGAATCCACAAAAACAACCATCCCTGTGAAAACCAGGAAAAGTGAAGTTGACTCGGTGCCCAGGCCTCTGTACGCCATTGCTGCCAGCTGTTTGGTTGACATATAGGCTTTGGCGCCTCTGTGCGCATTACTGTGGCAGAGCAGCTCTGGGTGTGCATCCATGGCCCGGGTAAGAAATGAGCTTCACTCACTGGTGAGTGAGCCACGGCCCTGCACCCATTGGCCATTGAGATTATTTGCAGTCACACAATTACTGTGTGCATGTGTTTGTGTGTGTCTCTCCTTTCTCTGTATGTGTATGTCTCTGGATATGTGTGTACGTGTGTGTCCTTTCTGTGTCTGTGAGTGTGTGTATGTGTATATCCCTGTGTCTGTCTCTGGGTGTCTGTGAAGTAGTGGGTCCCAAGAGTCAGGATGTGATGATCTCCTGCTGCCCTGCATTCAGGATACTGGCAAAAATGGCGAGCAATGCTGGTGTTTGGCGGATCTCCAGGCCTTCAAATGTAATGCAGGGTAGAAACGGACAATTCAGGTCTCCGATGGTGTTTTTTTCCCCCCAAGTAGCCCACCCAGATTTTGTTAAACAAAGCATTAACAAATTTTTTTTTTTTTTTTTTTGGAACTATCTACAATGTGTTATTTCTTCATGATCAGTTGTTATCAATAAAGTGAAAAAATGTAGGTTGGCAGTAAAATGTGCCTCTCAACGGCACAAATCAATTCCCCACAATTTTCCGCAAAATTTGTCAAATTTCGCCACAATTTTTGGCAAACATTTCCACAATTTTCTATTGGCCCTGCCCATAGTTTGGTATACAACTGTGATAGAAATATTGTGACAGTGATATCTACGTTGTTTAATCATTGCCATGATTCCAAAGCATTTTCAAACAACAAACATTATTTATTTGAAGTTGAATGTGGAAGGTTTTCAACAGAATCACATTTTAAGTTGTGAAACTGGTGATCAATTATTGCAATTAACTTATATCTTTTAAAGAACACTAATTGCACAAAGTAGATTGTTTTTCTGCTCCTGCTCAGTATTCAATTGCAAGAATCCCAGGCTGGTTGTACAGTTTATGGTCTTAGTCATTGAACAACTAAAAACTTTCAGTGTAAGTGATCTGTCACTCGTGAATGTTCTCAATGGTTCGTCTTACCCAGCAATTATTTTACTGCAATTTCTTCATGTGGAAAATAGCTGCTTACCAATTTTACCTTCATATCGCAAGCATTCCCACTGGCATGATATTTGTACATTTGTCTGGTTTGAGCTTTTATCAAATGCCCTCTCTAACTTGCTTACTGTCAACATTGGCTGCCACATTTATCTTCATCCAAGGAAGCTCCTTTCAAGCCTGTGTGGCACGCTCTGATTTCCTGTAGGTGCAAACAACAAGCTCAGACTAGCCCAGATTGGACAATTCATGAACCAGAATTTGTTTTACAATCTCTGTACGTCGGAGGCAAAGTATATCAATCTCTGACAACTTGAGTGTTTTCTAATTATACTAGTTTATGGTTGCTAAAGATAAGATTCTATAATCACAAAATAGTATGTATAGGACCAAATAAATGATGTGATACAAAATAGCACAAAATAAACCCAATTATCAGCAGTGTCAAAGATGATTTCAGCAACGGAATCTCCTTGAAAGTGTAGACTTTTGTTTGGCCCGGGTTGCACGCTCTTTCTCTCTTCTCTCTGCAGATGTGCTACTAGCCTGGTGTGTTCTGTTTCATTCCCATGCTGATTATGCTAGTTTTTCATGGACAGATTTAATATTTCCGTGTGTGTGTGTATGTGTGTATATATATATATATACACACACACACAGAAATATTAAATCTGTCAGTGAAAAACTAGCATTATATATATACATATACAAATTTCAAATAACCATTCAATTCCTGAGCCATTTGCCCTTTGAATCTTAACCTTATTCAGTTCATGAAGCATTCCATTTGTGAGGGTGAACCTCAGTCCTTGTCACTTGATATTGTTTTTAATTTCAGCAAAATACTGTTCAAAAACTAGGCTTATTCACACTTTGGTGTGAACTACCTTTCTCCAACTCAACGTCGATGCAACTGAGGCTAACCGACTCGGCTCTCATCAGTGCCTCCTCACCTCAGGTGCTAACCATATCAAACTCCCTCACCCCAAATCAGAGTGAGAATGTGTGCAGAACCTAAGCGTTTTGTTCACCCATGACTCTCCTTTAACCTTTCAACCGGCTCTGACATGAAAGGTGCTATATAAATGCAATTTGTTGTCGTTGACCATGTCTGCTTCCCTTCTTCTCCGAACCTCTGCCACTACCTCACCTGCCTTGCAGCTGAAGCCCCTATCCATTTTTTCTGACTCCAGATTTGACTTCTCTAATTCTCTTAAGCTAACTCCATATCAATTTGTTCGCTCCCTCTCTTAGCAGGCTCTAGACTGCTTCATGACCCCCGCCCAGCCCACCCCACCATCAGAAGTCAGGCCTTCAGCCGCTCTGCCCCTACCCTTTGGAATACCTTCCCACAGTCCCCTAGCCTCACTCCCTCGCCACCATCAAGGCTTGTCTCAAGACCCTGCTCAAGACATTCCTCTTTGACCGCACCTTCAGTCAACCTCCTACTTCTTCTCTCCCTATCCTCCACTCCTCCTGATCCCAACTCGGGTCCAAATCCCTGTCTGTCCAGCACCTTGGGACGTCCTCCCGACATGAAAGGCGCTATGTAAATGTAATTTATTGTTGCTCTGTTCACTCGCCTTCTAGCTCCATTTTCCACAAACTTTGCAGCCCACATCCTCTCTTGCATGGCTCTGTGAGCTCATCATTCCCATCCTCGCCAGGTTCTACTTGTTCCGTATCCAATACATGGATCAATCTTAAGATCCCTGCCCTTACCTTTAAAAGCTTCTATGGCCATTCGCCACCTACAATCTCCTGCAACTCTACTCCCCCAAGACTCACTCACTTCTGCCTACTGTGGCCTGCTTCAGTCTCCATCCCGCTAGCAGACGCACCTTCAGATCTTTTGCCATGCCCTCTGGCACTCTTCTGAAATCCCTTCCTCTCAGTTTTCAGAACCTGTTGATTATCCTCTCCTTTTGATTTTGGCCTATTTCCCCCTGCACCCCCCATTTAGTTTTTGTAAAGCATTTTTAAGATGTTGTTGGATAGAACCTCAGGGAATATCCCTTTGTTTTTTTTTGTAGAAAATAGTGCATGGACAGTTTTTTAAATTGTGAAACCCAATTAATCATTTGAAACTGTGCCTTGCAGATTCGGAACGTGCCGTTTTTGATGAGCTATTGGATGTCAGTCAGTGTATTATTAGCATTACAATTGGCCTTAATGCTCCAGGATTTAAGGTTGGGAAACATTATTGAAGACTCCCATTCATTATTGCTATCCAGTGACCTCAGCTGGAAATGGCAACTATGTGAATAGGAACTGGGGATGGGCTATTCGACCCATGCATCCCGTTCCACCATTTTAGTTTACACAAAAAGTGCCAAATATGTGAAATATGGGGAGTCAGATTGTGTCAGCAACTTCTAAAGCGAATTCACACAATTAAAAATGGTGTAGGGTTTTGTTTTACTTTGGGATCAGCTGTATAGACCATAATAGTATCTTCCCATCTTGTACATTCCTATGTTTCTGTGAAATGTGATATGTGGTTTCAATTTTGTTTAGCAGATTTTCCTTTTTGCCTCCTCCTTCTCACTCCATTACATTATTTTGCAGGATGAATGTCCCCAAATCCATTATACTTGTTACTGTTACTTAAAGCCAGCACACATGACTTGTTTAAGAAACTGCATAATTTTGTAATGGGAAAACTCTTGGGTTAGTATTCTGGGAAGATGAAATCAATAGCTTTTTTTTAAATAAAACTTTTCAGGAAATCCTAGCAAAAGGAATTCTTCTTCCATTAATCAACCAGTTCAGCGATCCAGACTACATTAATCAGTATATTATATGGATGGTAAGTGGCTTTTGTTTTGAATATTTTACTGAATTAAATGGCATTCAAACCCCATTTGTGTTTGTTCTACTTAGAAGTAAACTACACCGATAAGTGAAGATGCTGAAAGTATTATTTGTTTCAGATTCGTGATACTAATTGTAATTATGAAGCCTTTATGAACGTTATCAAATTAAGTGACAAAGTGGCAGAACTCGAAGCAGTGAGAGATAAAGCGGCGGAGGAGCTACAATATCTTCGATCTTTGGATACAGTTGGTGATGGTAAATTTGTAGTTTTATCTACTTTTGATAAGCAAAATTAATTCTGATGTTTTAAAATGCCCTAATATTTTGTATAATGTAGTTTAAAAGTACATTTAATGCGTGCCTCTGAGGCATATTGTCTGATTTAAAGAACACTATAATAATTCAGGTATATTTGAACTATAATCAATGGTTCATTCTACGAGTGATGGTAGCAGTCCTATAATACAAAAAAGTAATGATAGCCTGCAGTTAATTGTCACTCTGCAAAATCAAATTTGTTTCAGAAAATGTTGATTGAATAAATACTTCTGTCACATACCTAAACTTTTTTTTGTCAGCTAAGTATCTGACTCCTTGAAACCAATCACCATACGTAAGAGTCTCTGAGCCAAACTGCTAAGAGTTCCACAATTGTATAGATTCCATTTGTTTGGTTTGGAAAGTTCATGTTCTCCCTGGAGGGATGCATGTTGCTTAGCTAATCCTGAAAAATTAGGAACATGTTTAGCAAGGGTAGTCTTGGAGATTTCAGGGTATGCATTGGAGTACTGCTAGAGTTTAACTAGGCAAAACTATGCAACCTACCTGGCAAGCGTCCCACCGCTTGTTCAGCTTAGGAAGAGCCCTATCTCCTAGTAGTTGATCTTATGCACATTGTTCAGAAGTCAGCTGTACATAGAGTATTTATGGCATATTCTAAACACATGAAAACCTTAACAATGCACAGTGACTGCAGCAATAGGATTCTGCATTCAATATAATTTTCTAAAAATCAAGTTAATTTGTTCTAATTCAACATTCCATAACCATAGGGCCACCATTTACCTAGATCTATGTTATTTTATCTGCAGAATTAAGCATCATTTGCTGGAACATGTGTTAGGTGACAGAATTCTCTGAACTTGCCTCTTTGTGACCTACTACAATTTCACAAAACACAAATTATGATAATTATAGCAATAATAATCCTTGTATTTGATATAGTGCCTTATCATATTGCCACATTGTCTGAAAGCACATCATGGAATATATTGTAAAATGGATTTGACTGGGCGAAACGTGGCAACCAGTTTGTACACGGCAATGGCCCACAAACAAGCCTTGGAGTGAGTGTCCAATTTTATTTGGGGGATTGTTGGCCAGGACATCGGGAGGAACTCCCTTCAACTTTAGAATAGTGCCATGGGATTTTCTAATGTCCATCTGAACAGGCAGACAGGACCTCAGGTTAACGTCTCATCTGAAGGACGGCACCTCCAACAGTGCAATACACTCGCACAGCACTGGAATGTCACACTCCCTTAGACTATGTGATTCCAAGTTCCAACTTGACTCTGAGGCGAGAGGGCCACCACTGAGGCAGGCTGCAACTTCCTCGCTCGCTCTGGCTCTTGTTTAGGCTTTCTTCCATGTTTCTTGTTGAAGATGTATTTGGTTTTTTTTACACTTTTAAGATAGTGGATATCCACTTCTGGTGCTGACAATGCCCGTTGCACAGCTCCAATAAAACACGATTTAAAGGTGGAAAATAGCCTTGAACTTCCCAAACAAAAGCAGCTGAAACAAAAGGTTGCAATCTTATATAAAGGAATCTGAATAACAGTGAGCCCATGCAACAAGATTAGCTAGTGGTAAAAAGACATGTTCATACCAACCATCTTTTACAAACCTGGGGTATGTTACTGTAGCACCTCTGGTTATACACACTCAGAATATATTTGAACTTCCCATCTCCCGTGATGGGATTTAAGGGATTTTCTATTTTTTCTTTGGAGGAGAAATAATCTAATGTTTTTTTGAAGCAGAAAACCTCTTGGACCTGAGAAGCCTTTAATATTTCAGAGCCTGAATCTGAAGGCAACCCTTCCTCATATTATGAGCTCCTCCTTGCTTTCAGTACAGTTATTCAATGTAAGGGTGATCTAGAGCTGGAGAGTGTCAGGGTTGTAGGCAGGTCCTGCTTGTCCTGTCTCCTGGCAAGGCACCAACCAGGATACAAATGCTGAAGAAGAAATGTGTGGTGTCTGTTACCTGGAAGTGAAGAGATTTTGCACCTAGTATGTTTAGAAGCCAAATTCATGAGAGTAGAGGCACTTTGTGCACAAGTTTAACAGAAACGTTTTTGAGAGCTATTAGGTACTATTGAACATGTTCCAAGTTTTGAGACCCCTTTAAGCACTGGTGATCCATCCCTAAGTTGTAGTTCTCTGCTGGCAACTCAAAATAGTTCAGAATTTTACACATACACTGAGGGAAGTTTAAGTGGCTTGCTGAACTAATCAATAGTGTTGATAAGTGAATGTAGGTTCATTTATTTAAGATTGTTTGAATCATATCCTAGTTAATTAAATATTGGCAATCTAGAATACTGAAATGTGCCTAACTGATCAAGTCCCAATATATCAAATAATCATTTTAAAATGCTTTAGATAACCTTTCAAACACAAAACAAGTTATAAAGACATTGTACAATTATCTACATTCCCTCTTCCATTATATATGGAGAGTACGGTAGTCATTAATATGTAGAATAATATATATTAGGGGAGTGGAGGTCTCTGCTTTTGAAGAATATTTGGAAATATGATGTCTAATTGATCCGCTGTTCATATTTGTCAAAATTAGTTAATGAGTGCATTTTATTCTTAATGCTGAAATGTGACTTGAGTGCATGTTCATTTATTTAAGGTTGTTTGAATTCTATTTAAGCCATTAAATATTAGAAATCTAGAATACTGAAATGTACCTAACTGGGTTTTGCCTTCATCTTTCATTTTTCAGATATAAACACTATAAAGAATCAAATAAACAGCTTACTATTTGTGAAGAAACTTTGTGAAACAAGAATACAAAGGTTAAACTCAGGAAAGGTAATTGATTTTATTTATCATGATTATAATCGTTAAAGTTCATGTTGGCATTTCTTAATTTTGGTTAGTTTTCTATGTTGGTAAAATGGAAAAGTATCAGAATAGAAAGTAAAAAACATGATAACATTCTAATTCTATCTTCAATTCTATGTGTGATGTAATTCAATTCAATTTGTAATTCAAAATACGAGGATTAATTGAAAATTAATTTGTGTTTTCCCAATTGTTTTTAAGTTGAATGTTAATGAATTGCCTTATTTTTGTTGTTACTTTTAATAATCCTTTTTTGCTAAAATTGGAATAGTTTAATCAACAAAATATTTTTTTTTGTCTATCCTCAATGTACATAAAAGTAACGCTATCGAATGCAGAAAAACACTTAAAGAAACCAATTAGGGTTAGGGTTAGGAGGATTATGGTATGTATGACCAAGGGCAAGATATTGTTAAAGTACACTGAAGCATTACCTCCAGCTTTAGTCACAATTTCCTCCAGATTCAAAGTGGTTTTGAGTGAGAGACTCGGGTGTTGGCATATAGCCTAAGATCAGTTGATTTTAACATTCCCTTTGGTGGAACGTTGGGCATGGTCCAAAGGAGATGCCTTCAGGTTTGGAAGCGATTCAAAGTTTGTTTATGACAGTTCTGACATAAAATAGGAAGTAATGACTAATTTTAAAGCCCCCGTACCTATAATCTCTCCTTTTTTTTAAAGAAAAAAGTGAGGGATTGATCGTGGACTCCAAATCCTCCCAGAAATAAAACAGTCTGAGGATTTTTAGAATGCGTATTATTTAGCAAACAAGACCTTTCTTCAACATCTAGCTGGATTTATTGAAATATCTAGCAAAAATGTATCTCCTAATGTGGCACCAATCCCAGTATTGACCATGGGGCAGATAGGTTGCAAGAGGTTTGTTGCTCTGGTACAGGAAATGAAACCTTTGTACCTATATTCCTGGATAAACTCCTATCTCTTTGAATACATTGCTTAAATTCCAGATAAGCTAAAAGTTGAAGTTACAGAATCCTTTCTAGGCCACAGTAATAATAATAATAATAATAATCCTTGCATTTGATATAGCGCTTTTCACGTCGGGAGGACGTCCCAAAGCGCTTCACAAAACACACTGTAAAGTGAATTGACTGTATATTTGTGGGCGAACGCGGCAGCCAATTGCGCACAGCAATGTCCCACAAACAGTCGTAGATTGAAAATGACCCAATTTTTTTTTTATTATTGTTTTTTGTTTTTTTTGGAGGGATTATTATTATCTTGTTGATACTCGTCAACAAGGTGATGTCTCACCACTGTAATCATAGACAGACTGCAGACATGGTTGGGAAGAGAGACTGCAGACATGGATGCAGTGGGCATGGAGAGAAGGAATAACATGACCAAATCCAGTGGCAGCCGGTTTCATAGCCAAGACCAATAATTTATATTTTGAAATAGACTGAGAACAGGAGAACTGTCTGCAATTGTTGTAGGCCTAGAAGCTTTCTTGCTTAAAAGCAGATATTTGAAAAGGTTAATGATGTCCTTTGAGAACACAGACTTCAGATGAAGTGCACATATACATACCAAATGTTGCACACATCAGTTTTGAACCCTGCACCTGCTTGATTTGTTAATCAAGTTAATCAAGTAAGTTAATGAAACCAGTATATGAAGCCTTCGCTTTGGACTACACCCAAATCTTTACTGAAGGCAGTCAGTTGGCTGAGGTTTAAGCCAGTACAGAACTTTAATGGCTATAGTTTAAACTTCAATTCTATGGTGGGTAGCCATAAGTATTAAGAGAATTTAAGACAGGAAGATTCAGTGATGCCTTGCAAAGTTATTCTGGTACTTTGTAGATTTAAGTCTTTCTAGGCTCAGGGAGGGATGGTGGTAAATGCTGTGTGTTGACATATTTCAAATATATTTTATATATATATAATATATAACAAATATAGGCACTATATCAAATGCAAGGATTATTGTTATATATGCAAAGAACACAAGTAATGTTCCATATGGTTTAGAGAAACTGGAGTGAGACTCCTGAGGGTATAAATTGTCATGGCCAGTGCTGGGTGTCTGGTTTGTCATTTGGAATTTAAATATTAAGATTTAATATAGTACCAATTTTAACCAGTTCTTGTAGTTTATTCTATGTATAAACTGCAGGTACAATTTTTATTAATATTCTGTTTTTGCAATTATATATATTATTGTTCAGTCTTTCATTCTGAAATCTGAATTCACACTTCAGTTTCTATTTTCAGTAATTTTAATGTATTGAGTTGAAAGAGTGAAAGCAGAGAAAAGCAAATTGCAAATTATGAACTTTGCTTTTGTACTTCGACCATAATCCTCTTCCCTTGACCTTCAGATTTATGGTTTATATTGGTCTAATCTAAAATGAAATCTTTGTGTCTTGTGAAATAGAAATTGGGATGTTATCTGTTCAGTCCAAGTATCGTAGTACATCAATTCTCTTTGACTAAATCAAATTGTGAATGCTTGCCCTGTGTAACTTAATCTCTGACTGCTGAATTAAAAATGAAACTAAATTCTAGATAATTGGGTTAGTCGTTACCAATTCCAGTTCCGTGGAGGCTAGCATTCAAGCCTAGTTATAGACTGAATAAATAACAATGACGTCCTTGGAATTATTACAAGGCAGTGATGATATTGAGATGTCATAAAACACCAACAACAACAAAATTACATTTGTGGAGCGCCTTTCACATCGGGAGGACATCTCAAAGCGCTAAAAAACACAAGAGCAAAGGTTCATCAGCCTCAGCTTTGCAATTATAGCTTTCAAGTGACTCATTTATGTTTTATAATTAGTTGTCTGTTGCATTTATTTAGTTGGAAGAGCTGAGTTTTGTTATCTGTGCAGATAGCCAATGGGCTCTCCATACTTCTCGTTTTGCACTGGTAAACTGATGCCTTTTGGTTTATCAAATCATAATTCAGTCAATTACCAGAAAACAAAAGAAAAAGTAATGTACGTTCTATCGATTACACTGTCTTTCAAAAAGCCATTTTTTTCCAGCTGTTACAAAAAGATTTATTTTAGAGTTATTTTTTTCATAATTTTCAATTAAAAATTTCAAACTGCTTTAGAGCTGCCATATTGGGTGATGGGAAAATGTTTAGGTTTTTAGCAACAATCTGCCCTTCAGGTTTTATACAATCAGCTTAATTTTCTAAACTTTGAAAACTTGATTTAGTTCAGATGTATTTTTGTCTCCAAAAGTGTCATTCAGAATCACCAACACTAATTGGAATTATGCCATAAATTTTACCATGGTGTCATGCATCTATGACAGGTTGGCTTAGCTGGTAGCACTCTCACCTTTTAGCTTTTATTTCTTCCAGGTTAGAAGATGATAGGTAAATAATAAAACTCTTGTCAGCTATCCAAGCTATAGAAGAGAACTCTCACTGCAAGTGTAATGTTATTGTTATATATTCTATTTTAGGTTACTGCCAGAAAGTGTTTAATCATGGGTTTTATGCTGTGAGCTCATGTCAACAAGCCTAATGAGTTCTTTTGCACGCATTGAAGGGAGTCTATATTTCCGCTAGGTTCAAACATTCAAATTTAGATGGATTGATTCAGTCAGTTTCTGGAGTCGTTCTTAAATGTCCATTTCAAAGCTGGTTGCAATTTTAAAAAAAATAGCTTTCTTCTGTTTAGTCAAACCAAATACTTCGCTAATTAATAGCAGTGAGCTTTATTGGCAAAACTGCAAACAAAGCATGAATATTAAAATCACTGAACTTGCAATCCTATATTTGAAGAAACATTCTTAATAATAAAGGACATTGATCTTATTGAATTTTTAGTATCTTATGGTTATAACATCTTTGAGATACCAAGAGACTCTTTTCACAGACAAAACCACCGGGTTAGAACAAAGATTATGCAGTGCCATATAAATTATTAAAGACAATAATAATCCATGCATTTGATATCATGTCAGAAGGACATCTCAGGATTTATTGTAAAGTAGTGGCTTTATATTTTGTAATTAACTGAAACTAATTTTAAAATGATTATTAATAAAATTGGTGTTAACCTGGCTCAGTTGGTATCACTGTTGCCTCTGTGTCAGAAGATTCAAAGCCTCACGTTGGGCCTTTGAATTACCATAGTCTAGGCTGACATTCCCAATGCAGTGCAGTATTGTTAGATTGCTGCATTGTTGGGGGTGCCATTCTTCGGATGAAACATTAAACCGAGGGCCTGTTTATCTGTTCAGGTGAATGTTAAAGATGCCATTCAAAAAGAGAAGGAAGTTTCTGCTGGTGTCCTTGTCAAAAATCCCCTAAGAAAATTTGTCATTTAAGTCATGGCAGTTTGTAGGATATTGCTATGTGTTTCACTCTATGTATAATTCTGTCATTATACTGTATGTTTAACATAGAACTGCTCTGTAATAATACAGCATAAAAACATGACAAAACATAGGCCATTCAGATCATTTGATATTGTATTAGTTAATGATACCTCTTTCGTTCTCATCCAGTTTCGCCTTTTCTCTTTATCCCCAATGTCTTTGTTTCACAATTATTTACCTCTTTAACACCTCAGATGATAATCTTTGTGCCTTTTGGGGCAATGTATTCCATATTCTTAAAACCCTTTGTGGGAAATGTTCTTTGGATTCAGTCAGTTTAAAATCAGTGTATCTCTAATTTTAAACTTATGTCCCCCATCTATCTTGTTGATTCGCTTTTTATTATTAAATGCTTTAAATCAATCATCCCATAACCTCCTCAACTCCAGAGAAAGTCATACAGTTATACAGCTTCATCATAGCTAAATGTCGTCATCCCAGATATGATGCTGGTGAATCAAGGACAGTATATCCTTCCTCAGGTGGGGTACCCAAGACTGACCATAATACGTCAGATAAGGTCTGATCATCACTCTGATACTGCAGTAGTGCTTTCTTGCTTTTACTTGGTCTATGTCTTGAAGCATAAACTTCACAATGTTGCTAGTAACTCAGAACTATAGAAACATGGCTGCCTTCTGAACTGAAAGAGTTCATTTGGCCCATGATCCATACCATTACAGTGAACCCCCGGCTTACCCAGACTCCAAATATCTGAAATTTCCCAAAAGGGAAATTTATATTTCTGTGTACCGTGTGTGAACTCTTGCCGACCAGGTATATCGACTTTGACTCAGTTTGAATTAGCTTATTCGCTATCTTCTGCTTCAGGTTTCAAACAATTGCAATGAGTTACTGGCATTTACCAGCATTTTCTGGCATTGAAAAAGGGCAGTAAATGCCGGTACGGGCATTCTAATTACACTTAGTCAGAAATTCCAGCACTAGAAAATTCCCCCCATTAGTCCAGCTAGCCGAGGTTTTAGTGTATTGCTTTTGTGGTGCTCTTTTTAGTAATTCCACCTTCCAGCTCTTTATAATAATAATAATAATAATCCTTGCATTTGATATAGCGCTTTTCACGTCAGGAGGACGTCCCAAAGCGCTTCACAGAACACACTGTAAAGTGAATTGACTGTATATTTGTGGGCGAACACGGCAGCCAATTGCGCACAGCAATGTCCCACAAACATTGTCTTTCCCCATGTCCCTTACTCATTTTAAAACAGGAGTTAATTGAAGTTCCATTGTACAAATAACATTAATAGAGCACTCTGATCGAGAACTTGCACATGCAAATTGAGTTCTTCATAGAGCAAATTTTTATTGTGAATCAAACTGTAATTTATAATGTGATAACTGCAGATGAATTATGTTATGCTGATTGATTGCAAACATGTTTCCTAGTAAACTGAAGAATTGTACAATTCATAAATAAAATGGTTTGTAATTCAGTTAATTGACTTTCAGTTTATTGACTTTCAGTTCTGATTCTATTTAATGATATTTACAGGGCTTATCTTTAGAAACCAACATTAAAACCACTGTTTCCTTCAGTTATGGCTATGTATTTTTTTATGATTGGGCACATCATCCTGGAAAAAACGATCTAATTTCCCGTATCTCTTTTGGTTGAACCAATTGTAATTTATTCTATAACTGCTTAAAATCACTTGCTTTTAATAATTCAACAAATATGCACTTCATCCTAATTTATAAACCAAAACAACACTTGTACATATTCATTGATGGTTCCCTTCTATTTTTTAATTGCCTTATTGAAATTTTTACATTATTTTATGTGAATATTATATAAAATCCTTTTGATTATTAATATTTGCTTCCTTGTAATAATATTTACACAAAGTCGGGCTGAGTCAACTTTTCTCAAAGCTTGCAGTAGGGGGATGTTTTCCAGCTACTAATTGTGTTTTCTCTTTTAATCTACAGGAAGTAGATACCCTCAAACTTGCAACAAATTTTGGCAAACTTTGCACAATTCCCTTAGACAGTATTCTTGTGAGCAATGTTGCATTACAGTTTTTCATGGGTAAGTATTAGACATTTATAAATTCAGATTAGGGATACAGCAACTTGCATTTGTAATGGACCTTTTGCATATTTAACATCTCAACCTTTTATTTATGGAATAAACCATTCTATTTAAAGGTTTGATTGAATAATTGACACATATTTATGTCAACATCTACATTTTTACAGAGAAGTTGAAACATTTTGGAAATCGACATTCATTTAAAATGTATAAACGTTTAGATCTAATTTTCCCCCCACCTCGCCCCTGTCCCCCATCTAATATGTCTGTTGCTCTGTATTTATAAGTATTTTTAATATAAAAGAGAATACAGTGGCAGAACTGCAAATGGGAACAGAACAGAGGTTGTTTACAGGCCTCTGTAACCAGCACAAAAGGTGCACAAAACCCGCACTTAGTAGGTTCCATGATAGCTGAGAATTGGAACTTGTGTCATGGGGTCATCGGAGGCAAAAACTCATGCTATTCTTGCATGAGCTTGTGATTCGCACAGAGGATTTTAGGACAAAAAATGCTCTACAAAAAATGGTGATTGAAGCAGAATTCATAATAGCTTTTAAAAGGGAATAAGACAAAACATCTGAAAATGATAGAATGAAATGGGGAGGGGGTGGGGGGCAGGAGAGTGAGACTAAATAAATAGATCTTACAGAGAGCAGGTATTTAGGCACAATGGATTGAATGACCTTCAGTGCTGAAAAATTTTGATTCTATTCCTTATCGCGATTGTAGGTAAGCAGGATGCATCCCTCCAGGGAGAGGGTGCGTATTCCATGCCAACAAATATATCTGGAATTGGTGGAATAAATGTGATGGAACTCTTTGATTTGGATACTCTTAAACATAGTGATAGGTTTTCGTATGTGTCAGACACCTGGCTGGCCCAAAAAAAAGTATTCAGGGCTACAGAGCTGAAATTTTTTATTTCTAATAAATTTGCAATCAACTGGGTCCAAGCGAAAATAGCAGTTTTGTCTTGTTCTTTCAGATTATCAGCTCTCCAATTACAACTCTATTGTATGAACTTGCTGGAAATGTAGAATTTGCTGGTAATGAATTAAGATCAATAAAACTGTAGCAATGTTACTTTTACAAATATTGTGGGCATGCTATCACGTACCAGAATACAACCTCTGTATAACTGTTGGATCGTTTGAAGAATATTTTTGTTTGCCAGAAAAGGATGTGATGCTACACTACATTAACTTGATATCCTGAAATTATAATATGAAATTATTTAATGGCTCGCGCTAAAAGTTGCTTATCTTTCTTGTGACAGATTATATGCAACAGACTGGGGGACAGGCCCATCTCTTCTTCTGGTTAACTGTGGAAGGCTACCGAGTTACTGCACAGCAGCAGCTGGAAGTGTTACGCAGCCCACAAAGAGATGGAAAAAGGCAGAACAACCAGACCAAAGGATTGCTGCATGTAGCAGCTGTTGGTGTTTATGAACAGTATTTATCAGAGAAGGTAAGCTTATAATATTCCCAGTGGTTTCAAATACAGTAATTGATGAAATGCAAGATTGTTTTTCTTTTCATAAAACCAAGCATAGTTTTGGTTTTGGGCAATAGTAACGTACCCATTTTGATTTATGCGTGATATTTGTTTAGTAGAGAGAGAACCCATCCAGTTAGGAAGCTTTCTTACCCCTTTCCCTTAATGTCCATTTGTGACCAATAAATATTGTTTTCTCATTCTCTAAACATTTATGATTCCCATGCAGTCTTCTATGTGGAACAGCATTGGAACTTACTTTGTATAAAGTATTTAACAAAGGATGAGATTTATTAGGATGTTATATAACCTTCAGTTTTTAAAACAAAAGACTTACAAACAGAATTGCTCTGTTTTCTTTTCCCACTTTACTAAACTCACACATTTTTGAACGCTCTGTTATAGACAGCAGAAAGGATGAAGCAATGATGATGGTGAAAACAGTTTTTCCATTTAAAATATTAACAATTTATTTTCTCCAAATACAGGCATCTCCAAGAGTCCATGTAGATGATAATTTGGTCGCTAAATTGGCAGAGAAGTTAAATCATGAAGATCCTACTCCAGAAATATTTGATGACATTCAAAGAAAAGTAGGTTTAAAGAAATAAAAAGCCATTCTCCTTATACCTGGTGGGAAATTATGTGATTCTGCCTCCCTATATATGCCCTCCTTTTTGTGTATGTCTGTGTGACATAAGCACATAAAGGTTTTCTCTAAATGTGCAAATATAGAAATGTACATGTTTTAAGACTAAAGGTTAATTGTGTTTTACATTTATGTTAAGGTCTATGATATGATGCTGAAAGAAGAACGATTCTACCCCTCTTTCAGGCAAAACCTGCTTTATGTGCGGATGTTGGCTGAGCTAGACATGTTGAAAGACCCAAGTATCAGAGGGTCAGATGACGGAGACTTGGGTATGTGAACAATGCATTTGTCAATAGACATAACAGTCTTTCATTACCTAATCAGTCAGAAGGATAGAATCTATTAAGCTTGTGTCGTGTACATACGTGTTTGGTTTGTTTATTAGGGTTATTCCTTTCTATTGTCTAATTGACTACATCCACTCCCGAGGGCCTATTAGTGTGGTAAGAACACAGTAAAGAGGAAAGTTCTGCTTATGGGTTTCCCTTTGTGGTTGAATAGATGTAGCTCTAGGGATGTTGACTGGGTTTTGTGTGGGGAGTTACAGAGACCTGGAAGAAGTGCTTAATTTGGAGTTAGCAGAATTGGTCTTGTTACAGTACATATAATGGAATTGGTAGAAACATTAATAATCTGGGATTTCTAACACTGCTTCAAAAGAAGACTGTGCAATATTTAGAATATTAAATAAATGACTGGATCATTCACTAGCATTAATTTGATGTTTTTAGAGATGAGAGCTATTGGAAGATGATGTGCACCAATATCGTAAACAAATATAGTAACTCTGGGAACTTAAATATCTCATCTTAATTACTGTATTTGCTCCCAGTCAAGGGGTCTTTAGTAGAACTGTCATTCTTACGATCTATTTATGTCCAGTGTATGTGGATTTTGCAAAGCTTTCTATCTACATCTAGTGGTAGAAAATGGGTACAGCAGACTTTTTTTCTATTAATGTTTTAGTCCACCCTTTGTAATGTATTTCAATTCAATGTTTGATGAAGTTAGCACTGGTTATTTTTAACCAACCATTTGGTGTACCTAAAACTATACTTTTATAATGCGAGTTACAGATGGTGAGATTTCAAAAATTCCAAGTCGCTGGTGGGCAATGAGCCCACTCCTTGAAATGCTTTCTATGATGCAAGATATATAGTGGCACCATATCCAAGTGGTAACTGAATCAGTTCCCTTCAGCTCTACTCCTCACTGAATTCCAAATTGTGACCAAATCTATTTCTTCTTTCCTGAGAACTTTGTCAGCTCACCTCCAAATCCAGAAAATGAAAGCATAACAGTGTTGAAGGTTGGAGTTCCTGGTCTTCAACAGTTTTCCTCCATATCTCCAGAAATAGGCTACAAACTTGGTCTTATCCAAGCACTAAGTGGCCCATCTCAAAGATTGCTGCCTCCACAGGGAGTCTATTTCCTATGACTCTTCCTTCACAAACACCGCTGAATCAAGAAAACAATGAAAGAAACCTAAATGGGGTAGAGGAGCAAAGGGATCTAGGGGTACACATACACAATTTACTGAAAGTAGCAACGCAGGTTAATAAGGCCATTAAAAAAGGCAAACCAGGCATTGGAGTTCATTTCTAGAGGGATAGAAATGAAAAGTAAGGAAGTTATGGTAAACTGCTATAAAAACTTGGTTAGACCACACTTAAAATACTGTGTGCAGTTCTGGTCCCCACATTATGAAAGGGACGTAGAGGCACTGGAGAGGGTGCAAAGGAGATTCACAAGGATGATCCCAGAACTGAGAGGTTATACCTATCAGGAAAGGCTGAAAATGCTGGGACTCTTCTCTTGAAAAGATGAGTGTAAAGGGTTACCTGACAGAGGTCTTCAAAATGATGAATGGTTTTGATAGGGTAGACATAGGGAAGATGTTTCCACTTGTGGGGGAGACCAAAACCAAGGCCATCAATATAAAATAGTCACAAATAGATCAAATAGGGAAATTAGAAGAAATTTCTTCACACTTCCTCAACTGTCCTTTCTCCCAACACATCCGTGCCATGACCGTACTGTCTTCCCCCACCTCCACAACATTGCCCGACTCCGCCACTTCCTCACACCTCAGGCCGCTGAAACATTCATACGTGCCTTCATTATATCTGGCTCGACTATGCCAACTCCCTGCTTGTCAGCCTTCCCAACTCTTCTCTCCGAGCCTTCAAGGAGTAGCGGGAATGTGGAATTTGCTACCACAAGGAGTTGTTGAGGCAAATAGCATAGATGTATTTAAGGAAAACCTAGATAGGTACATGAAGGAGAAAGGAAGAAAAGGTTATGCTTGAAGGCTTAATTGAGGAAGGGCAGGAGGAGGCTCATGTGGAGCATAAACACCGGCATAGACCAGTTGGGCCGAATGGCCTGTTTCTGTGCTGTATATTCTAATGTATTCTAAACCAGGATATCCATTGCCTTACATCCTCTGTTTTTCTTAACCTGTTACTAATCATCCAATAAGTGGTCTTAGTTATACTGTTTGCATAGTTACCTATCTAAAGTGGAGATAAATCGAGGAACTTTAGGATCATGCAGATCATTCTAAGCCAGAACTTCTCAGTCAATTTCTTCTCTGTTTTGCCACTGTCAGTTGCCTCCTGGTACCGTTTAATGCCATTTCAAAATCTCTGAATACAAGTGTGTCTCGTATCACTGGACTTGTGTGTTTTTTACGTTGGAAAGCTAATTTGGTTTATAAACTAAGTTATCCCTAGTTTGCTGTAATCTAGTTTACAGGGATTTAACATTAATAATAAAACTGTCATGTTTGCTCAAGAAGACTGCCTTTGCGTTGATCTGCTATAAATGTCATTTGTTTGCCAAAAGCAACAGATTTTGGACTTTTTTTTGCCTTAAAAGAAAGTTAATTGTGCACCACAATTTTTATTTTGACAGAATCGGTCCCACACCCATGCAATTCAGATAATAAAGTGTAAATATCCATAAGAATGGAAATTGCTTTCGGAGTCTGTCTTGCATCATTTTTTAAATACCCATGTTAACATAGACAGTATTAATTTGAAATTTTGAGCCTAGAATCACAAATCAAGAACTCTCTAGTGCGCAACTGCCCTGTTCTTGGTTGCCTGCAGGTGCATACGTTTGTTTTACTTGGAGCCCTTTGGGCATTGAAGTGTTGGATGTTGGAAATTTGCCATGAAGTGGTCATTTTTCTTTTTAATGTTTAGGAGTGCTTTGAGTTTTTTTTATTTCAAGTACATGACCTTCTGCTGAGATTTGGTATTATTTTACAAAGCATTTTTTGCATTCTGAGCTGAAATTTTCCTCCCTCCACTCCATAGAATCCTTCAATGGCTCCCCAACTGGCAGCTTAAACTCGGTAAGTGTTTCCTATGAACTGTTGCCTAGCTTGGGTCACTTATTAACGGCATAAAATGTATATGTACAAAAAGACTAATCCATTCATTTCCCACTCCATAGATCTGATAGTTAAAGCAGCATATTTGATTTTTCCATATTTCTTTGTAATGTTTAGTGACTCTGAATTTACAGTGCTTGTGCAGGTGTTTGAATATTGGTGGATTTATTTTTTCTGGCTCAGATCCATGTCTGGAATAGATGCTTGTTTAAATAATACAGTTCCCCTGTGTCATTATATGACATAAAGCAGCCCAGCCTATGAGTAGTCAAAAGGTTGTATCTAATATCAGCAAGTTTCTGTAGTTTAACAGGATATTTTCTTTTTAGTAGATATCCTCTCTGTGTTAATACTTATATTTTTTATTAGTATTTACTATACAATGGGGGGGGAAGATAAATTGAACCAACATTTTCAAGAAGTGAATGAATGATCTACTATGTACAGATTTCATTCCTGCATGGAGTGTTATTTTACATTGGATACAATAAAATTTGCATATATATAGCGATCCTAGCTTGGGTTTCTTATTAGCCGATGACCTCTTTCACGACAAGAGACATCCAGTTCCTGACTCGTGAAAAATGGGAAACTGTCTTGACTGATATTTTCTTCAATTTGATAAATACAACTTTTGCAGGCAAACTGGTTGTGCTGCCCAATAGAGCAAAATAATACATTTGTAATTTGCTTTTTGGCTGGTGTCTATAGGCAATACTAGTCTAAACAGGAGAAGTGCAAAAAAAGCAGTTGGGCTGCCAATCAAAATAGATTAATAAATGCATGTCTCCTCATTTTTCCACTCCCTCTTCCAATACAGTTTACACTTATATAGCACCTTTCATGTCGGGAGGACTTCCCTGAGCACTGGGGCTGAAGGTGGGAGCTGAAGGGATGAGAAATGGGAAAGATGATAAAGCACGGTCAGGGGCTTGTTTTGGGACATACCCTGAAGGAGGGGAGGAAAGCAGTGAACGCAGCCAATGTACTCGCTCAGATTGGAGATTAACTAAGAGGAAATCTGTGTCCAACTAGTCAAAATACAGTCCATTAACATTGGCCCTGCCTCACTGTATTTTTTTTAATAATGCTGTTGCCAGAAAGTTACAACTTATTGGTGTCTGCAGTATAAGGAGCACCTGCCTTAATAGAATACCGATTTTGCAAAATAACCCAAAAGTCACTAACCTACTGAAGGAATCTGAAAATGGAAGAAAATTTGTGATTCGCTTAAATTGAATTGGCCTAATGGATGAGCTTCCTTATTTTTGCCGCATCTTTTATTGGGAACTAAGCTTAGAGGCCAGTGGGTCATTAATTCCACTTGTTTGCGCCATTTTGAATTAGCATTAAAAATACTGGAACCTCCACAATTCAGCCCATCTATAGTCAAACCCCAGTTTCCGAAATAAGGATTACTAAACACGTACATATCATGTGCCTATTTATATAATTTATGGAGGCTATAATATCGCTTAATATTAAAAAATCTCGACTGCAGCAGTTAGTGAATTCTGTTTCTCTTGATTTGTCATTTTAAAAAGTGACGACAAATAGCAATGTGCAATTGGCAGCAGTGGGCTGCAGAATTTATTAACTTAGAGATGAACTTGAGCCATGAGGTTGCATTCTCCATGCAATCAATTTGGCTTCTCAGTTTCCAATGTGTACCTTACTTATTCAAGTGTAATTTTAGTAAATCTTTATGTATACAATATTTTTTCACAACTAATGGTATTCTGATACTCAATAATTCAATGGAGCTGCCTCCTCTCTAGAATGAAGTAGCAGGAGTTTACAAATTCCCTTTACTCTGTCTGAATAGTTTTATTCCTGGGGCGGGTGGTGGGGGAGCGGCAGATAAAGATTAGGTTTTAATAATAATATTTGTGTTTGATACAGCTCCTTATTGCTTCAAAACGACCCAAAGTGCTTCACCGTAGTTACTGTTAGGTGGAGTGATTTTTTTGTGCAGGTAAACTTAACAGCCAATTTATGCACAGCAATGTCCTCCAAATAGCCAGGTGGTTGATTGACGACCAATTGAAGTGAAAAATTGTTTGGCCAGTACACCGGGAGAGTTTGCTGCCTCTTTTAGACTGTTGTCAGGGGTTCTTTTAACATCCACCTGAACAAGCAGATTAGACCTTGGTTTAACATCTAAACCCAAAGGACAGAACCTCTAACAATGCAGTGCTTCCCCCAACACTGCACTGAAGTCAACCTGGAATGAGAGTGCAAAGTTCCTGACTCAGATCTTGAATCCACCAACTTCTAACCCAGAGGTGACCTCCTTTTATATTATGATAGAACTTAACTGTCTCAAGAAAAGGCAAAGAGGAAATTCCTAGAATTTAATAACTTTTAATATAAATAAACTTGTGGACCAGAGACATGTTTCCACAAATCATAATTGCAAGTTGAATAAGTGTTTTAAAATAAGCAGAACTGAGTTTATAATGTGAATAAGGTCAGAATATCAAAATGCGTAAACTGCAAACGTCATGAAACTGGTCAAGTTTTTTTGCTTAAGGTTATGGAATAAGTACTACCCAGGCTAGTGAACAGACTGGTTCTTTCAAAGAATGTTTGACACATTTCTCTCTTATAATGATACAGGCTTGGAAAGTAGTAACGAATAAAGTGGCCCTGGAGGATCATAAAATACAAAACTTGGATTCTTGTTTTTTCTGCAGATTCTGATCCTAATCAAGTTGAACCTAAAAATATCAATCCACAGTATGTGCTTCATATCTAAAGTAGTCTTGTTATCAAAACCTCTTTTAAACCAGATTGTGAAGAGCTGTATTTACTATATTTGCGTTTTAGCGTGGACACGTTTGAGTCAGAAGGTTATGAGTTCAAGCCCTATGCCGATACTTTGAGCTCACAAAGATTCAGCTGATATTGCAATTACAGTACTGGGGGAGCACTGCAGTACTGTTCTTAAGAGATGTTAAACCCAGTACTGTCTGCCTCTTTAGGTGGACATCAAACATCCCACGGCACAGTTTGAAAAGAAAAGAGAGTTTCTGAGCTGGGGGTGTGTGGTAGGTAGGAGGGTGGCCGAAGGCTTGGTTGAAGAGGAGAGTTTATTATTATAAGTAGTAAATAAAGATGAGATTGCGGTGTGGTGGGACAAGCTTGAAAGGGTTGCAGAGTCTGGCTGTGTGCAGTAGGTGATTTTAACATGCAGTTGATGAAAAAGCTCCCTGAGTGAGTCGTTGTCTCTGGTAATGATAATTAAGCTGTCTGACATAGTCAGCCGCGGTATCTTGTTGAAGCCAATACCTCCATTGATGTCAGCACCAGCTGTTGAAACAAGTATTTAACTTTCACAGAAGAAAGTTACATTATACATTCATGTTCTTTGTAACAATTTGATGTTTAATAGGTCTGCCATACAGGCTTTATTTACTTATTCAGTTTCCAATTTTGTGATTATTGAACATAAACTATTCTTAGTAAATCAAAATCTTTTGAGTGTGTAAGAATTTTTTTTATAAACTTGACATGAAGAGTATAAAGTAAAATGTATTATTATTCTCTTCCCCCCTCCTCAAAAGTCTCTGGATGATCTTTCAAATGCTAGTTCTGAAGACTCATTGCAACTACAAGCATATATTAGTGATACCGGTAAGTGATGAGTTACTGGTAAGTGATATTAAGTGATATTACATTAATTACCATGACATTGGACAAAACATTAGGACATAAGAAATGCTGGTTTATTTGCATTTTATTCATAGCTATTGTTTGCCTTGACTGAGAAACTGGCAGAGGAAGTGTCCACTGAAGTTAAACTGTCATTCACATGTGGGAAATGTACTTGCAAAATGGCTGCATTAATTGAAATACTCCATGCAGCCTGCATAGCAAGTTGGAAAAATTGTCACTTCAGAACAGTAATTGTGTCTAAAAATAGTAATAATAATAATAATCCTTGCATTTGATATAGCGCTTTTCACGTCGGGAGGACGTCCCAAAGCGCTTCACAGAACACACTGTAAAGTGAATTGACTGTATATTTGTGGGTGAACGCGGCAGCCAATTGCGCACAGCGATGTCCCACAAACAGTCGTAGATTGAAAATGACCAATTTATTATTGTTTTTTGTTTTGGAGGGATTATTATTAGGTGTGTGGAGTAAGGAAACTTGCCCAAGGTTTTGCCCTGTGCCTGGAATTGAACTCAGGTCTCTCGCTTGCAAAGCGAGTGCTCTAACCACTGAGCTACAGGACTCCACTGAAAAATAATTAAAATTTTTAATTTAGAGTCCTGTAGACTTTATTGGAGTCCTGTAGCTCAGTGGTTAAAGCACTCGCTTTGCAAGCAAGAGACCTGGGTTTGATTCCCGGCAGGGTGAAACTTTGGGCAAGTTTTCTTACTCCACACGCCTGAAAAAAATAATAAAATATTGGTCATTTCAATCCACGACTGCTTGTGGGACACTGCTGCGCAATTGGCTGCCGCATTTCGCTCACAAATATACAGTCAATTCACTTTACAGTATATTCTGTGAAGCGCTTTGAGATGTCTATAAGACGTGAAAAGCGCTATATATGCAAGGATTATTATTATAAAATACTGAAACCCACAGTTAACGCACAAATCAGTGGTTTATCAACATAGGCAATCTATATAGCTCTGGCTACCAAACTTCACATCAACTGGCCTGAGCTAACTCGGAGCACCCTCCGCAACCCCCGTCCATTAAATTGGAAATATTTAATTTGAATAGGGAAAGCTTTTTTTGATGCTGTTTGGAACATGATGGACAACAGACAATCAATATTGCCATTAAATCTGTTAACACCATTTTATCGGTGTAGCTCAATGTGGTAGTAATTAAATAAGGCAGTCCAGTCCCCATAGATTCCAATTATTATTCTTACTTTGCACATACTGTATTCATGCTGGTTTATCCATTTTTATGTCTGTCTGAACTGTTTCTTTGATTTACATGCCTTTTCAATGAGATTAATCTATTTGTATATTCTAACCAGTTGACCTATACACTGTAAAAAAAACTTTTCATTCATACTTTTCACTATTCACACATCATATTGCAAACATTTTTGTAACCATTATGTAATCAACAACAAATTGCATTTATATAGCGACTTTCACGTCGGAAGTATGTCTCGACGTAATGGTAGACAATTGGGTTTAATATTCATTTGCAATTAAATGTCTCATTCTGACAAGTAAGAACAATATTGGTTCAAAAATGTTGTTTTCAAATCTGTTTGTGTGGGACATGCTTAAAAGTGTAATATTATACCAGGTTGCACATTGCATCAATACTCTTGTCACCTAATCCATCTGTTGTTTCCTACACATTTTATTTTTGTTTTCTTAATTTTCCATCTGCTCTCTATTACTTTAACAAACATATAACTGCATATCATTTTTTAAAAAAGGTTAAGACATTTAGGAAATTGTTCAATAATTCTGCAGTATATTTAATGTGACAGCACTTCATTTGAAACAGAAAAAAAACTTATTGCATTCCAGTAATTGTGCCCTAAGAAGCTAAATTAAAGGTAATTGTTTACATTTGTTTGTGTTTTTCAAGGCAAGGGAAGTCAGTGGTGGGGAATGGAACATTTTCCAATTTCAGGTATTCAGGGTCAGCTTCAGGCACTCCCAGGTTGTGTCTAGCACATCCAGCTTCATAGTAAAGTTGCTGCTTCTCTACCCCCACCAATATACCTCAGTCCTACCCTCAATGAAGCATCTCTCCTTCTTACTGCAGCAATGGGAACATTTCTTTTATTTCCCTTGACCAAAGTCCTTATTTCTGAGTTAGTTTGAAAAAATAGGGTCCATTTTGTTCTCGGAACTTGGAAGTGCTAACTAGAAACCCTAATGCCCTCCTCTAATACAGGCCTCTAGACTGGCAGAACCTATCATTTTGGGTTAGATTCTGAGATAAACGCCAGAGGTGAAAAACAGCATATCAAACTACTGACATCCTGATTCCTCCATAGATTTTTTTTGTTGACAAAACGAAAGGAGGGGAGAGACATGACTATATATCTACTCATTTCACATTAGTTTTCCATGCTGCAGTTACCTTCATTGTCATATTTCCTCATCTTTCCTGTCCCATTTTCATCCATCTTTGTGTTTCCCATCCTTCCTCTTCCCTCCCTTGTTTCCTTTTAACTAGTCCATGCTGACTGTGAACCATATCCTGTGGCAGGAGTATGCAATGACCATGGCAAGACGTACGCTCTCTATGCAATCACTGTCACGAGGAGAAACCCAGATGGCATTGAGGACATGTGGAAGACCTACCGCCGCTACAGTGACTTCCATGACTTTCACATGCGGATCACGGAGCAGGTAAACCTGGCTTAAAATATCTTTGCAGTCTATGAACGTAATTCAGAAAAGGATAGAATTATTCTATGTGTACTGTTGTAGTAAGATGTAAATTATGTATGGTCAGACCACATTGAGGGCACCAAACTTAATGTTTGTGTTTACCCTGTTGTGTTTAATTGGAACTGGATTTGTAGTTGAATGCAAATTGTTGATCAGTTTCAGGTATGCATATCGTTTGGCCCTTAGTGATTGCTTCTTTCTTCCCTCATATCCTGGAAAGTTTGTTTTGTCTTTGCAGAGTCTTCAGCCACAGAATACACAGTCACTCCACTTTACAGTACATTCTGTGAAGCACTTTGAGATCTCAATAAGGCACTAAATCAAATGGAAGGATTATTATTAAACTCCTGTGTGCCATTTATTTTTGAGGTCTGAGCCATATAAACAGCATGCCTAATGGCGATCATTGTAAAATCTATTCCTTATGGAGAGGCTGGTTCCTGTCACATTGGGAAGTCTTTGAAGAAGCTTACATTGTAGCTGGTTCAGAAAGGCTAGCTGCAGTACACTTATAAAGGCATCTAAGCAAATTCATCTTGTAACAGATGCTATGTGTATTAGAATGCAAATGTTTGATCAGTGCATTTTTTTAATGTTTTTAATATTTGCTTTTATTGTCTGGTGATAGGTGTAAGCAGATAGGGCTTAACAATAACACACTTCATGCTACAAAATTCTGCGTCTCTTCTCTTCCTCTTCCCCCCCACCATAAGACAAGGCAATATATCATATTAACTGTATCATCTCAGTTAACACTTTTCCAAAACAGCTGGATAAGTACCTGCTAGAGAATATGATCATTAGTGTGTAAGTGATTCCTGAGCTATTGGCTCTATATCTATATATTAGGGAAAGCTAATTGGTCAAATTTAGTTTTTGGCTGTGAATTAAGTCTGCTGTAGGAACTGTATTATGTCCTCCTCCTCTCCCTGTTCACTCCTTAATTTTTCCTTCCACTATTTCTCCTTTCCTTCCCCTCCCTCAAATATCTGTAATTTAATTTTAAAAAATTCTGCAGTCATTAGTTGGGTTTAAAATATGCATCTGCATAGTGCATGTGCAGTTCTTTCTGCCTGGCACTGTGTGTATGCAACGCAGGGTTTAAGAAATTGTAGAATTTTGCAGTTTCGCCAGTACTCACTGAGCATGGGAACTCAAAATTGTCCTTGGGAAAGAGAGCAATTGTTGAAGTATCACATGAAATGCGTGAGATTTGGCAGGACTGGAAGCTGAACAGCTGCCACTAAAAAAAAAGTAGTTGACGAAAGTTGTAAACTCTGCCCTATGCTAATCTGCCTGAATTCTTACAATTTAACACCTGTAAAAAAGAATAACTGGATTAGTTTACCATTTTAACAGCTGGAGTCTGGGTATACCATGTAGAGGCCATTTTTACAGGGTTCAGATTATATACTTAGCAAGAATACAAGCTGCCGAAGTGTTTGGTTTATTACATTTATTGATTACTGGAGGAGAACTTGAAACTGTGGCTTTATACAGTACCATCACTCCACTGTAATTGTTGCAAGTGATCTAAAATGTTTGTTTTACGTGAAAAATGAAGTGCCCTATTATATTCCCTTTGCTCAGTTTGAAAACGTTTCAAGTTTAAAACTGCCAGGAAAAAAGACATTTAATAACATGGACAAAGATTTCCTGGAAAGAAGAAAAAAAGATCTTAATGCCTATCTACAGGTAATTCACACTTGTTTTATTGTATTGCATGATTATTTACAGCTATTTATAAATTGCTTCAGTTAGGATTAGTTGCCGTATGTACAATTGAAGCAATCAGTGGCATTGCATAACATGTCCAATGAAGTCAACCACAGGTATTAAAAACAGAAGATGTATAATAACAATGCGGTCTTTGGGAAATGAACAAAATGCAGCACATAACTCCTAAATCAGAAATTGAAACAATGATCTAATCCTCAGCATTTTTAGCCAAGTAGAAATTTTGAAAATTTCCCAATATTTTATTAAACTAATTAACAGCTTCCTTTGTTATGTCTCCTGTTCGATCCAACCCCACCATCAGTGTGCAAGCTTTCAGCCATTCTGCCCCCACTCTCTTGAACTTCATTCCAGATTTTGTCTGCCTCGCATCTTCCCTTCCCACTTATAAAGGCATTTTTAAAACCTCTCTGACGTCACTTTCAGTCATCTCCCCCACCCCACCCCGTCCTCCCACCCCAGCTCAATTGTTCAGTCAGCTGTGTAAAATGCTTTGAGATGACCAGCTGACAGGAAAGGCACAATATAAATGTAAATTGTCAAGTTGTAAACACCAAATCGAAAACCCCCAACAAAGCATTCGGGCTTGAAACATCTTTTCAGTTTGCTTATCAATGTCCGTAGGATCCTTATCATCTCAAGCAGTGATGATGCAGATAGCAGTTTCATTACCAAGTATAGATGATTAAAATAATAGTCTTGCCATGTAACAATTAATCCAATCCATATCATCTTGGGTTTAAATAATTGTATTTTACCCTTCTATAATTGTTTATCTCTTTTTATTCAGTTATTGTTGAACCCTGAAACAATAAAAGGTTGTCCAGCTTTGGTCCCATATGTGAATGACTTTCTGGAAAATAAAGCTTATAGCAAGGAAAGGGTGACTTTGCTCGTAAGGTAAGTCTGCCATCTGTTGACCAGAGACTGTAGTGCAGTTGTATCAAAAGTTCTTCAATTCATAAACATGGAAAAAGTATTGTATCATTGTACCAATCCAGTTGTTTAAATAATATAAAGGCAAAGGTTTAGTTTGTACTGCATTAAGTTTTATGTGAAATAAAAAAATTTTTTTTTCAGTTTAGAATAGTTCCAAGTTATAACCTACCACCGGCATTTAATATTGATGGTTCAGAGTCCTCCTTTGAGGACATTTTTTAATTAAGTTTGATTTTGTATTTTAAATATTTACACTAATAAAACTTTTGCTTAATAATGGTTTTCACAATGAAAAATGCTGTACGTTTGAGAAATCTACTTTAGTCTGCAAAAAGTGAAAATGTTTAACATGATTTGTGAATTATTTTTTGGACCAAATAGAATTCAATTGAAAGTAAAAAATAGTTATATAGTTCTCTTCATGTCGTGCAGGTGTCCCAAGCTGGTGGAATTTATACATTAATGCAACTTTTATACCGAAATAGTTTTAATATAGAGTCCCATAGAGTAGTGGTTCCGTGCTTGCCTCGCACATGAGGTTTGATTCCTGGGCAGGGCGAAACCTTAGGCAAGTTTCCTTACTCCATATGCCTTTGTTTACCTAGCAATAAGTAGGAACTCATTTATTAGTCAATTGGCGGATCGCTCTCCGGTAATAAATCCTCACAAAAAACATTTTAGTAACTTAATCCATGACTATTTGTGGGACACTGCTGTGCCCAATTGGCTGCCGCATTTCACCTGCAAAATATACAGTCAAATCACTTTTACAATATATTCTGTGAAGCGCTTTGGGACATCTCAGTGACGTGAAAAGGCGCTATATGACATGCAAAGATTATTTTATTATTATATAACTTCGTCCCTCCCATCTCCTGGCAGAAACTTTTATGTAATCTACTTGTTTCCTAAAACCTACCTCAAAAGATATTGATCCATTCCCACATCTTTTCATTTCAATCCTCCCCTAACAATACAGAAAACTGTTGCTTTTCTTTGAACTTTCTCTAGTACTTTAATATCTGAAGACAGGAGGGTTGGTATTCTCAAAGAATGAGAGCAAATGAACCAAAAGGTTGTCTTTTTCTTTTACGATCTTCTGCATCTATTCTTTTGGATGGGGGTAGTGTCCCAATGCTCGTGAACGCTACCCTGTGTGAAAGGTGCTATATAAATGTAAGTTGGCTTTGTTGTATTCTGCAACTTATTTGTGTTTCCAGATGGATACCCTTGTGAATCCGCTTCGTAACTCGATGAGAAACGTTTCAAATGCCGTTAAGTCTTTTCCAGACAGCCTGGCAGAAGGAATGACAAAAGTGTCAGACAACATGGGGAAAATGTCTGATAAACTGGGACATGAACTCAAGCACAGCATTTTAAAGGTATCAGTTTGTTAACTTTCCTATGTTGTTAACACTAGGTGTGTTGGAGAAGTAGGCATTTCCAAATTTTCGACATGTATTACTTTTCTGAAATTGAGTACTGAATCAAGCAGTACTGAATTACATCTTTAACTTTATTGCAGGTTCCACCATTGAAGCCAGAAGAAGATTTTGAACATATTCGTGTTTCTGTCCTGCTGGATGACAATGTGAGCTTTTTTAAAAAAACAATGAATGCTTAATGTTGAAAGTAAATAGATTTTTTATGTTTTATAAAAAGGTTTAAGAGATTTAGGAAGAACTTGCATTTTTGTCACAAAAGCTAATTCTAAATAATCAATTGTAAACGTCTCAAAGCATTTCACAAGTAATTACTGTTGCTTTTAGTGACAGGTATGAGTTTAATGACTTCATGGCTTCACGACACTTCATATGCATATTTTAAGCACTGCGCTGAAGTGTTGAGTTAGACCCACAGCATGAAATGCCTGAGAGAATTGCTATCATCTTCCTGCTCCAGCTCGGACACACATCCCTCCCCATTGAGTGATTGTTCCACTAGTTGGAGAGGTGTGGAGTTTAAGCAGCAGCTGCTTACTTCTCCGCAGGCCAATCGAGGTGGATTCCAGGTGCTGGATATTTGAATCATGTTCACAAACTCCAGGTAACACCTTCCAGCAGCTTTGACCCAAGCCTCAGAGTTTCCTCATCAGATATCTGGCTGACATCTGCCTTCAGCATGATGGTAGGATCTTTACAGAACAGTTTGTGACCTGCCAGCCACCTTGATGTTCTCGAGGTAGAAGTCCATGCCATGTACCACGTTTACTCAGCACCAGTTGCTTAATTCAGATCCTCACTTGAGGGGCCTTGGCAAATAATCGTGCCCGCTGTGACGTCGACTCCCCTCCAGAGTGTGTAGCGACATATCAGTGTAGGCCAGAGCAGCCACTTCCCGTATTTGCCACAATCCACCTCGCTGCTTGATCCTGGACTTCGCAAATGGGTCAGAGGAAGTCTGTCCACTGCCTCTCAGGAGCTCAGAACTATGAAGGCTACATTTCAGACTTGCTGACTCTATCTGAATATATGGAATTCATAAGTACAAATGCAAAGGGTCTGCATTGAGCATCTTAGAGAATAAACTTTCTTTTTCTTATACAGGTTGATGATAATATTCCTCTCAAAGTTATGCTCCTCCTAATGGATGAAGTGTTTGATTTGAAAGAAAGAAACCACTGGTTGAGAAGGAACATCAAAAATTTGCTTCAGCAGCTTATCCGAGCCACCTATGGAGATACAATCAACAGGTTTGTCAAAAACAGTGGAAAAATTGGTAGATTGCTGCTGTTTTTGAAATTGTATTGATTTGTTGTGTATCATGCACTGAATTGATTTTTGGGAAAACCGCTTTTTTTTGGTCAGCTGGGTGTCTGATGCATGCAGAAAACCATCACCATGCTAAGAGTATACAAACCAGATGGAGAATTCCACATAGTTATGCCACTTACATGTGGAAGTTCCTGTATCTGGAGTAGAAATGTGCAATGTATCTCTGGAGGGATGAACCCCGCTCACCTAATTCCAGAGAGTATTAGGAGTAGCTGCAGGGATATCAGGAGCAAAATGGGAATAATTACTGCCCCCGGTGAGCATCCAAATCCTATTGATCCCAGGCTGGCAGGTCTGCCATCAGCAGTGTCTTAGTGTACTGACAAACCTCCTAGTTCAAGAGAGTGCACTACTGAGATCGCCACAGTGGGTTGATAATCATGAAGACAAACAACTGTTTAAGCGACTCAGACTGCTGAGAAGCATCTTTTGAAATAACTTAAAAACTTGAATACTGAATGAAAACAGCTGGTTTATTTCGAATTCAATTTTTTTTGTTTCCAGAAAAATTGTAGACCATGTTGATTGGATGACTTCCCCAGAGCAAGTGGCAGAAACTGTGAAACGGTTCAGGTAAACGCAATGCACGCTTAATTTACTTTTATCTTGTTCTCTTCATTTTTTTTCAAAAAATGAAATTTGTTTTCGTCCGCAGAGATTCATTTTGGCCCAATAGTATCTTAGCAGAGACTCCACCACTCAGGGAAAAGGAGATACGAATGAGGACAAGAGTTGCTGCTAAGACAAAGATGCTGGTAATTATGCCAGGTGAGGGAGATTTATAGTTCACTTTTTTTTAATATATATATACATATATATATCTCCAGTTCCTAAGTGTTGAACGCTGAGATAATCTGGAGTTGCAGAGTGCATACAATTCCTATCACGAGAACACAAATACCGCTACCAGTAAGAGAATTGATTTTGTAACAATTTCTTATTCTTCCTCCTTTCCTCTTAAATGAAGATTTATTTTTCAAATGTAAGCAGGAGATGATTTATTCTTATTAAAGGTAGACATTCTTCAAATGAAGTTTGTATTCTGTAATCTATGAACAACCAGAAACGTATTCTGATTTATTGACAGTAAGATGATCCTCGTGCATTATTAGTTTAAAAAAAAGCATATTTGAATAGGAATAGGCTATTTGGGAAATCAAACTCACACTTCCATATTTCTTGTACAAATCTACCTATTATGGACTCTAACTCATGTGTTCAATTCCCTGAAGGATGGTTCCTACCAAAGATCTTCATGATCCTCAATAATCAAATAAAACCGAGGATATCCTATCTAGATATCCATCCATTCACATGTCCATTATTGAATACTAACTCTTTCCACAATAGCATTTGCTTGGCAATAGCAACAGATATCAATGTTTATGTTACCTTTATTTTTAGCAGTCTTTTTGACTAAAAAATGCTGACTTCCAGGTCATAAGATCGCTTCATCAAGGTCGTCACTTTCTGTGTGTTGCACATGCATGCCGTGTGCAGGCAGCGCAGCTAACATCCCTCTTTGGTTTGTGAAAGGGTGAAGACTCATACATAATACTAATCTTTGCATTTGATACAGCACCTTATCACATTGTTGGGACATCTCAAATCACTTCACAGAAAATACAGTTAAGTATATTTTATGGGCAAAACGCAGCAGCCAGTGTTCCACAAGCAATTGACGGATTTAAGTTTTTTTTTCAAGATTGTGGATTACATTATCAGAAGAATGGATATTTAATCTATATGGCTAATTCAGTATATGTTTATTTCTTTATACTTTTTGAATAAAAGACAAGGGATGTTTGTGGTAGAAATATTTTACCTTGAGCAGTATTAATATCAGAAGTTTCCATATTGGATGTGGCACAACTTGATGTAGACACAAACTGCCTCAGATTTTAGCTGTCACATTAAGTATATTTGATTTGTTTTTAACCTTAACGTTGTGAAGTTTCCTCGAAATGAGCTGTGACCTAATGTTTCTTTTGCAGATGAGCTAAAACATATTATTGGAGCTGAAACTGCACGGAAGGGCATTCTGCGAGTCTTTGAAATGTTCCAGCACAACCAGTTAAACCGTAGGCTGGTCCACGTCTTTCTAGAGGGCTTCCTGGAAACGCTTTTTCCTCAGTACAAATTTCACGAGCTCTTCATCAAATTGCATTCTCGATCTGAGCGGATACAAAAATACAAGCAAAAATTCCCGTCTGCTCAAGTTCCTTCTTCTCAAAAGAGGTGACGCTTCCAAACCTGAAAACTCTGCCCTTTGGACATTGTCTTGTGTACCTGCCCTATGACCAATCTATGTTGCAACAGTTTCTCTGGGGCTCTGATACACGCACAGCTCTGATTACAATGCGATCCTCTTTGTGCCAGCATCTAAAGCCACACCTCAGTGGCTTACTTCAGAAGATATTGTGTGATTCTGCTGTTCTTGATTTCAAAATGCACTTTTTTCTCATAATATCCCTGTATACCGGAACTGGTTTACATTTGTTATTACATTTGTTCAAAACTCACCATTGAGAAAGGTGTATCCATTTTTCATAGATGTGTCCATTTGCAGATGTTTGAAAGATGCTTCTTTTCAGTTGTTCCCTTGTAGCTTGCTGGCATTGAAAGTGGAGATTCAGTCCCTGAGCCAGTTAATGGGAGTAGCAGCATTGCTTTATAAGGATAGAGCAAAGCACAATTATAATTTTGTATTTGATTGATATTAATGTTCTGAAGTTGAAAAATATCCTGCACAATTTAAATGTACGTGCAAGTTTGAGAGAATGTGATGGTAATAGAAATTGGTTTTAAAAAGAAAGCATTATAAGAGTTTGGAAATGAAAGGCCCCAGAGAGTATGGATGAACATTCCTGGTGGCAGGAATACTTTTCTAGGGTTTTAGGTTAATTGGATATGATCTGATTTCACTGGAAAGTCATTGCTTAATCTGAGAACCACAAGCTGGGTTGATTTGTACCCCACTGTTGCACTCCCGGGAACAGAACTGAATGGAGAAGAATGTTCTTTTGCATTCATTTGTGTTTGATCCATTATTTAAGGAGATACTGAGCCGTGTGTTTTCATACAACTATAAAGTCTTCAGAGATGATTGTAGCTTTTATTGTACAGAGATTTTAATTCTAATTCAGAGTTGGGTGTGTCAAAAGTACAAATATGTGCTCTGATTAGTCTTGGAAAAGAATTGATCAATATAGCATTGTCGCTCTAGCAAATCTAATTGAGTAGCCTTAAATGCTCTGTTTAAAAATACAGTTTACTTACTTTAATCTGTTGAGACTCTCTCTTGCTGCTGGTTCTCACTAATGTACTGGTAAATATTGCCACAGAAATAAAGTGCCGATTTCTACAGTCGTCAAAAAAAATGATCTGTAATGGCATTATATATACTATGAAATTTTGTTTCTGGCAAAGATCTTTGACAGCTAATTTAATGAGGCCCCAACCACCTAGTTTATACTGAAATTTTAATTTTGTGCAATATTTCTTTAGCATACGTGCATTTAAATAGATTGTATAATGAAATATTTTAATGTTTTGAAATGTATGTTTAACATTCTTATTAACCCAACAACTTGCATTCTGTTGTTGATGCATTGGTTTATTTAAGGACTTGTTTTAAAAGTCTTGTTAGTCACTCCTTGTAAGACTCACTTGTCACGGATGAGGTTTCCTCATCCGAGCACGGCTTGTAAACTACAGGGGAAATCGAAGAAAGCACATGGTAAATACCTGTTAATGAATTTGTGCATATCATTGTACAGTGTCAACAGTGTGCCTAATTGTACTGTCAATTTTGTTTCTTATTCTGTAATGAAAGAACAAATGTAAATCAGAATGTTATGGTGGTTTTTAATAGACTGAAGAAGAAAAAAACAATTTTTGAGTTTGCATTATGCTATTAAAATGTTCAGTAGAACAGATGACAAAAATATCACACTAAATAAAGTATTAACTGAAATCTCGCTTTTACTTGTATTTTTCATACAATTTTAATTATGATGCCCAGACCAATGTGAAATTAAGCTATTGAATCTTCAACAACTGGAAACACAAAAAAAGGCCTCAGTTTTAATAGGTTTGAAATTGTTAGGCAGCAGCAGTGAATCTATTGGGTTATTCCTCCTGGAAGTTTGCCCAATGCAGCTACATATAATGGTAATCCTTATATTTGATATAGCGGCTTATCACGTTATCGATGTGTCCCAAAGCACTTCACAGGATATTCTGTAAAGCCGGTGCGACTCTGTATTTTCTGAGCAAACATGGCAGCCAATTTTCGCACAGCAATATGCCACAAACGGTCATGAATGAATGACCAATTTAATTTTGGAGATTGTGGGCCAGAAGACTTAAAAAAATGGAAGGATATCATACATTATGAAATCATACAATATTAAATGTAATATTGCTCTGATGACTGCAAGTGTCTGTCTGGCATTTCTGAGCAACTCTTTCTCCCTCGACCCCAATGTTTTCAAAATGGTTAGGCCTGAAGCTAGCCACAGTGGCTATTGAAGCGATCCCCAGCAACTATATGAAACAGCCCCCCCTGTAGGTTATGACATTTCAAATTGAGTTAAGCCAATGTCCTGCAAGTTGGCACTGAAATATTGCACTGAAGCCAGTGAGGCAACAAGTTCAATGGATTCTGTGGGCTGCCTTTTAATAACCATGGACGACTAGAAAATGTGGATCCAGAATTTGTTCATCAGCAGTAACTTGCTGAAGAAGCAAATAGTTGTAACCAACTTCATTTCACAGTAGTTAAATATGCTGCAAAAATTCAGATTCTGCTTTCTGTTTAGTCCAGGTGTTTCTTGTCAACATAAAAGTAAATATTCAAAAGTAGCGAGTACTTATCTGATTACATCTGTCATTTGAGAGATATTCGTAAAATAATACTGATTGAATATAATTACAATGCTGAGATTTTAAGAGGCACTAAATATGTGTAAACTATTCCAAATTATTTTAGTTGGGTGGCGTGACATATTGATGTGTATTGAATGGTCAAATATCTTTGCTCCCACCGGATTTAGCTGTGACAGCTTTTTGTGATGGAATGCAATTGGCAGTGAAATTTCATTTACACAGGGTCTCATCGTGACTGAGGCATTTAACCCTAGACCATTACATGGACTTTTCCCACAGATCTCTCTCTGACCTAACTATGGTGTCCCTGTTGCATCAGCTCTGACTGCATTAGTGACAGCCATTTGTGTGAAATCAATCACTTGTTTTAATCTGCAATTTAATTAGATTAGGAGAAATCTGAACTGTTGGTGACATTCACTGCACAAAGTTTTCTGGCATTTTCTTAATGATTTATCAGGGAAAAAGAATACTTTTTTTTGGAAGGAAGAAGATTTAACTTTTTGGAAGAACATATTGCCGAGTGTAATGAGTGTGCAGCAGCACTCTGCTGTGCCATTGAAATTCTCTCATCTTACTGCAAGATGATGTGTTTGCTGAGCCATGTCTGTCCTACATGAAAACCCTGTTTTGTAATCCATAGTGATTTCCATGCCTAACAAAAAAGAATGCCTTGAGAATTTATGGCCTCCTCCAGCCTTCAACTATTTCTTTAGTGTGGAGTTTACAATAGTCTAATACCAAATAAGCTGTTCTTTTTCCCCTCTGCTTCTGAGAACTTCCTTCACACAAAAGCCAATTCAACTATTTATGAAGTCTGGTAGTGCCAGCTTTACATTTCGATTAAAACTGTTCAGTGTATCATTTACATCTGTCAGACTAATTCTCCCACACGATTAGCTGCTTCTTGCTCTGTTGTGCCCTGCTGCTGTACGTTTGACATACTGAATTTACAGACAACTGCTTGATTTGATCAAAGGGAAAACTTTCCTTTAGAAACATGTTTAGTAATGGCAGGTCTAGCAACATGTGTTAACTAACAAATTTAGCTTTCAATGTTGTACACCCAAAAAATTAAACAGACATTCATTTATATGTTATCATGAGTTAAATCATGATTTAATAATGAATGGGCGGGTTGTCAAATCATGAAGCACCTTATACAGTTATCAGCAATGTGGGTGTGAGGGAGTTACAACCCTGGCTTGCAATTTTTTAATTGCATCATATTTTAACTGATCATTCTACAAACTGGTATGTATATCAAACTGTATATCTAACATGTTTTTAAATATATTTTGACACTATAAATATACTCAGCACATCAGATACAGGTAACCTATACACATATAGATTGTAATCAGTCCCTACTATACCTATAAAGTAAGACTTGAACAGTATAACTACATGGAAAAAGCACTTGGCATAAATTGACCCCAAGATTTCTTTTAAGCCCAGGTATAATATACAGTGGTTTTCTGCAGAAAACTTTAAATCACGTATACGTTTTCCAGTGATTATGCCACTCAAGAACTTTTTCCAATCCCAATATAATGATTGGAAATAATGGAAGATAGGTAACTGGTAACTGCTCACCCAAAATTAATATGCATTTGTATAGCGCTCTTCACAAGATTGGTGTGCATGAAGAAATCCCGGTGGCCCATCCAATAACAACAAATTACATTTATATTGCACCTTTCACGTCACGAGGTCATCCCAGACTGCTGTATAGTGAAGGGTTTGCACCTGACCTGGGAGTTGGAATCGAGAGGAGTGGGAGGATCACTAAAGGGATGATCAAAGAGGAAGGTCTTGAGACAGGCTTTGAAGGAGGCGAGGGAGAGGGAAAGCCAAAGGGACGCTGGGGTGGAGTTCCAGAGGGTGGGGCATAAATGCTGAAGGCCTGACTTCCACATTCATGTCCCCCTGACAGCGAACAGGGCGAGGGACATCGAGCAGGCGCCTCAGTGTCTGCCGAGTGGGCAGGTTAGTAAGGTTTTAGTAGGTCACAGGTATGGACAGTCAAGATCATGAAGAGTTTTAAAAGTGAGAACGAGAGTTTTAAACATGATCCTCTGGGGCAAGGATGGGGAGCCAGTGGAGCAAGGTGAAGATGGGGGTGATAAGCTCAACTATAACAATAACAACTTGCATTTGTATAGCATCTCACACACGGTAGGGATCCAGAGCACTTGACAGTGGCGGACACGACGCCGAGAAGAGGGGAGCTGACCGTAAACACGATCGAAGAGGAAGGTCTTCATGCATGACCTGAAGATGGGGAAGGAGGGTCGAGGCAGAAGCATTTAGGGAGAGTGTTCCAAAGTTTCAGAACGCAATGGATGAAAGCACACATGGAGTTTGATGCAGGAAAGGAGCCATCCAATCTCATCCCTCCACAACACCCAGCCCCCATCACTGCATTAAGCTGCTTTTTATATAATATAGAGTCCTGCGCTCTATCTCCTTTCCTCACACCTGTTCCAGTTAATGAATATCTTCTGTTTAAAGAAAAATAAATTCTCGTGAAATTGCCCATTACAAGATGAATCCTAAATTATTGTTCTGGGATAACTTTTTCAATCCCATTTGAAATGTTATATACCTCCTATGAGGTCCCCCGTGAGATGTCTTCTCTCAAGATTGAAGAGCCTTAACTTGTCTAATCGTTGGTCATAGGCTAGCTCATTCCTCTAACACTTGGGATCATCCTTGATGTGAGGTCACTCATTCCATGGCTGTTTGTAGGACACTGCTGTACGCAATTGACTGCCGCAGTTTGCCCAGAAATCCAATTTACAGTATATTCTGTAAAACGCTTTGAGATGTCTCGGTAATGTGATAAGGCACTATATCAAATGTAAGGAATATTATTATTATCTCCTCTGGGCCTTGTGTATATAATAATAATCTTTGCATTTGATGCAGCACCTTATCACGAGATGTCCCAAAGCGCTTCACAGAATATACTCTAAAGTGAATTGACTGTATTTTGTGGACGAAATGCGGCAGCCAATTGCATACAGCAGTGTCCCACAAACAATCGTGGATTGAAGTGCCCAATTTATTCTTATTTTTTTTTTGAAGGAATTATTACCCCAGGAAAAGCAATCCGCCAATCGACTAACAACCAGATTCCTACTTACTACTAGGTAAAGAGAGTCGTGTGGAGTAAGGAAAGTTGCCCAACATTTCGCCCTGCTGGGAATTGAATCCAGGTTTCTCGCTTGTGAGGCGAGTACTCTAACCACTGAGCTACAGGACTCCACACTACAGGATTGCTGGACAGTCCACCACATAACATAATTTGATTGGTGAGTCGGTGCTAAGTTTGAGTTAGTCAATCTCAGCCAAGGTGGCCTTGGAAATGAAGATTGGGTCATGGAAAAGAAGGAGATGGGTGCACTTGTTCTCTGTCTTCCCTCCCATGGTTGGGAAGAGAGGGAGAAACTTTGTCTTAGGTTCCTGTTCTCTTGGTTATTGAACATATTGATATTGATATTCACCAATCAAATATGTTCAAGTGTGTTAATTGAGCAAGTGCCCACAAGCATTTAGCTAAGGATATAGGAAACCAAAGTAAGCTAACAGCATTAATTTAAATATTAATGTTGTGAGCTTACAATCTTTTATTTTTATTATGTTGAGTTGCCAATGGTTCTTTTATTTAAAACAATCTATTGCACAATCGTTTTTTAAGTGCAAAACCAATCCTCAGTAACAGTTTACAATGTACAGGTTGCTGGAAGCTCAAGTGTGTTAATTGAGTAAGTGCACCCAATATTTTTGGTTCTCAGCTAACCAGGAGGTGCAATAACCCCAGTTTTGATCATATCGAAATGGCATATCTGACTGCATTTTCCTCTTTTTTTACTTATAAAGGTAAACTTTTTATTTATTTAGTGGTCGCTTGGAGGTTAGTGGTGGAGCAGCATCCCAATTGCTTTGCGCTACCCCACGTGAATAATAATCCTTCCATTTGATATAGCA